ACACAAGGAGAGGATGGCAATTTTCACCTTCTTTCTCCAGGGTAGCAGTATTTCTACTGCCAGCCCCAAATCTGGGGACCCATTGAGCTGAATGAGAATAAAGCTCCACATTTTGAGCCCATAATTCAATTAGGATTTGCACAAATGTAGCTTCAAAGTGCCCTCATGAAATTTTGCCCTGCAAATTAAAACTTCCCTTTGCAAATCTGCCCTTTAGGTTCCTGCTTGGGAAGGAGATGGGAGACAGCTTGAGGAGATTCATTTTCCCTCTAGTTTATATATAACTTGCTAAGCTTTTTATTTTTTTAAATGAGCTTACTATGTCCAATTTAAGTCAAAATTTAATGATCCCTGCAGTAATTCATTTAAGGATAAAACTTCAATAAATGACATAGCATAAGTCAGGGAATAACTGTCCTTGTCCACAGCACAATGATTAATCAACTCTATTAAAATTAGGATTGGCTGAGGAGATTTGCATAATAAAAGAAGGCTCGGAGCCTTCTCCAGAACTAAAATGGAACTGAAACCAAACTTTGGGTATTTCCTCCACACTTTCCCAGAGCTCTTTGCTCCATGTAACCTAGGAGGATCCAAGTCCAGAGTTCATGGTTGGGGTCATGCCTGGAGGTGGATGGTATGATAGTGGTCCTGAAAAGGGTTAAAAGAGACCAATAGTCCTGAGCACAGGCAGGTTGTTTGCTTTGCACTTTGGATAGGAAGGGGGTGTGGAAAACATCCTCTTTCTGGCAATTTAAGTGGTGCTTCTCAATGCTTTGGTGTAGGGATGCTTTCTGGATGAGGCATTAGAATCAGAGCAAGCACCTGGAGTTATTTGATATTATTTTATGTTATTTTACATTATTACATATTATTTTACATTATTACATGTTATTTTATGCCTTCATCTCCCCCTTCTGCTGGTCAAGGACTCTCATTAGTGAGTGACCTGTGTGGCTCATGGGAGTGGCTCAGCCCCCTCAGCAGGCCAGGAGAAGCAAAAGCAGCCCAAGATGCTTGGGGCAGCTCTGCACCCCTGGCTCCAGGGGCAGCCCCTGCCATGGCCTGGGCACAGGACCAGCATGGCCCTGCCACTGGGCTGTCATGTCCACTGGGCCAAGCCCCCACGGAGCCCCAGTCAGCGCTGCAATGACCCAATATGTAATATGGCCAACCATGAGGGACCAATTAGATTCCTGGATCCAATTAGCAGCAGCTGTGATTTGTGTGCATCCCTCAGTATGTGGCTGCGCTGAACTTTCCCTCCGTTTCAAATGTCCCTGCATAGCACAGGCGAAACAAAGGGAAGGAACATTTGTCTCGGGCTTTTTGAAAGCCTTTATTATGATGGACGAGGAACCTTTTACATCATTCACCAACCTGCAAACAAATTAGGTACCTTCATCACCTTCCCCTCATAGCAGAGCTGGCAAGCAGCAGCCCGATGAGCTGTGGGGAGCGGGTGGGTGCACAAGTGTTTCATTGGACATCATCAACTAAGTTTGCTGGAAATAAAATATAAGTGAAGTCAGATGCTGAGGGCTTAAGTGTCCATGCATTAACCAAGATGGTTTCCATCTCGTGGAGCAATTTGGGCTTTGGCCATTTAGGGCAGGACAGTGATTGTTATTCATTTTAATGGATGCCGGGCATTCCAAGTCCCTTTGGAGAGATTGAAACATCTCATCCCTAATTTCTTTATGTTTCAGTCCCTCACATGCAGCCAAGTCCTGCAGGGCACTCCAGGAAGCCTGATAAAAGGGTTACTGGTATTACCCATAATGATCTTCAGTTTCATTGAAGAGATTGGAGTAGGAAGAAGAGAAGGAAATGTCCAGGTCTGTTGACAAAATGGCAGGGAGATGAATAGAGCTGTCTCCTTTTTCCCTGTCAATGGTTCCAGCCCAGAAACAGAAGTTCCCATCAACTGCAGCCCACCAGAATCCCTGTGCCCAGGACTTCACACACAATGAAACAGCAGCACTGCTGGCAGCAGGAGGGGACGATGTAGATTAGGGTCGGTCCTGCTGCTGCTGCTCCTGGTGATCAGGAGCAAGGCTGTGATAAATGAATGGGAGTTCTGCAGATTAGCCCAAGAGATAAGCTCCTCTTTCCTACATCCACAGGGATTTCAATGGCAGGCCTGCTCTTGGCAGGAGGTGTTGGTAATGGAGTGGATCATCAGCTCCAGTGCAAAGGGAGGAGATAAAACCCCTTTACAGGGTGTTTTAGAAAAATAGTCAGCTAACTGAAAAGTATCTGTTAAAAAACAAGGCACAGTTGGAGAAGAGACCCCTGCAGATATGCATAGCCTTGACAAAAACGTTTAGGGCAGAAGCACTGGAAACAAGGCCCTGGATTGTTTTACTGTTCAGTAAACAACTTGGTGTCTTGCTGCTGGCAGTGCTTGGAAATCCCAGAATCATTTGGGTTGGAAAAGCCCTCTAAGATCACTGAGTCCAACCATTAACCCAGCACTGCTCTGTTCACCACCAAACCATGTTCCCTAGTACCAAATCCACATGCCTTTTGAACACTTCCAGGGATGGTCATTCTACCACTTCTCTGAGCAGCCTGTTCCACTGCCTGACCACCCTTTCAGAGATGAAATTTTTCCCAGGTAAGCCCTTTTACATGGCAGCCAGCAGGCAGCTGGATCCTGGGCATGAGCTTGGGGAGGAGCTGCAGGTAAATTAGGAGAGAAGGTAAAGGGGTTGAAGGTTTCAGTCTGTCTGAAAAAACTCAAAATAGTTTCTCCCTGTTTGGGTGAAAAGTGAAGGGGACTGACTTGGCAGTGGCAGTTCCCCATTCCTGCTCTTACAGGTGGTTTAACCTGTGTTTCCTTGGTGGGAGCAGGTGAATTCGGGCAACATTATCTGTAGAGGGTAAGGAGAAACTGAGTGTTATTTTCCATGGAAGTGGAAAACTCATCAGAATTAAACTTGATTCTTGGAAGAAGATAAACATGTTTGAAAACCCAGCCCAAATGCTGAAGGCACAGTAGCTGACCCACAGAGAGGAAGAATAGTTTTGTGGTTAAGGCACTTCACTGTGATCTGAAAAATCAGGGTTTGATTCCATTAGCCCCAGCCTCCCTGTGTGCTCACAGACAAATCACTTCCTATATTTTTGCCCAGCTCACTATATAAAATGAGGATGACAGCTCTTTTTCAAACAGATAGTCCTTACCACAAAGAGGCTGCAGTTGTGGCAAACTCTATATTGTGGATTGAAGCAACAAGTTTCAGGAGCGTGTTGCCCTGATAATGATGGCAATGTTTTATTGTCCTTCATGGAAGGAGCTGAATTCCTCACTTGAAAGCAGAATATTATATCCACAATTCATTCCTCTTCATGGGTCAGGATTTGAAACCAATTCCTGTATTAAAAGAAATGAATCACAGCACAAAAATGACTTAATTAGTTTTGTAGACAGCCAGTGTGAGCGCAGAATACCCCAAGCGAGGGTCCTCTCCAGCCAAACACCGTCCTTTAGGGAACTTGGCATTCCTTCCAGGCTGTGTGTCAAGGAGACTGAGCAACTTTACATCAACACAACATGGGTTTTCCTTCTACCAAACTACTCTGCAATCTGTAATTTTTAACCTCACAAGTTTGAGATTGTACCTTAACATTTGCAGGAAGCAGATGGCTTCTGCATACTGCCAACCTGTTGTTACAAAAGCATCTTCCAAGAATTGTTTTCTACCCACAGTCGCTAACCATAATTAACCTTTCATATGATTTAATAAACAGCAAAAAATATTTGCCATCTCATATTAATAAGGAGAGCTCTTCAGGACATGTTCCCCCCTTTTCTAGAACATAGAAGCTGCAGTAATTTCTGTGTGTTCTTGTTTTATTGCCTTTCAAACTATTTAGGGATGCAGTTTACCTATCCAGATTAAAGCTGTGAAGGACTGCAGAACAGTGGATGAGCAGAGCACCTTCTGGCATGGCACAAAGTGACCTCTTATTTGAGGAAAAAAAGCAAATCTAAGTGAGAAGAGCGACTGACTGCAGAGCCCAGCGACAGCCACTGCCATATCAAGGCAGCCAGCTGTCTTTTACACCTTTCCCACACTCATAATTTCAATGCCTCGTGCCATTTTAAGTGATCATAATGGGGTCCTGTAGTACTTTGACCTTTTTTATATTGGGAAACTTCACTGACTTGTCATTTTTGGATGGAGGGCTCTTTCTATATATACATACCATGGTGACAGACACCTCCAAAGTGTCTAGGAGACAGCCAAGTGCAAAGTGGGATATTACCATGATTTCATTAATGAATGAAGATGAAAACGTTGGATAAGACTTTCCATATATTATGGGGGAAATTAAATGACAGACATAAGTAAAAAGCTGGCATGGGGGACCAAAGTACATCTCTCCATTCCTGATGGGTTGTTGCTTTGGCTTAGGACATGGCAGGTTTTCTGAAGAGCTGAAACTATAAAAGAAATATTCTCTTAGTTTAACCAATTTCTATATTGGGGATTAGGGAACACTGTCCCTGCTAGGAAAGGAGAACTTCTTCTTCAATTAGTATTTCTTTTGACTGCTAAGTGCTTATCATCAATTAGTATAATAATGCACCTTTGAAATTACAAATACAATTATGATGACGAGTACTTGGCTATAAAAAAATAAAATGAAATAATATACATACAAAGACTGAGCTGTAGCCCAGGAACTGATTCCAGGAGATGGACCCAGTTTTTCTGCTTTCTCCGTGGTTTTGCTGGTAAGCTGGAGTTTGCTGAATGGTGTTTCATTTCCATTTATTATTATTATCAATATTCTGCCAAGACTGAAATGGATCAACTTCAATTAAGATAGATGCACATCAAATTAATGCAAGTCTAAGGAGACTGGCTTTGCAGGTGAAAATAAAAAATGATAAAATAACAAAAACAAAATGCTTTCTGAAGCTAAAAATGAAACAAGGGAAAGCAAAAATCTCAAAGAGACAAGTATTTTTTTTAATAAGGGTAAAACTTCTTTATAAATATAATATGCACCTGAAAACAACCAAGCAGCTGCAGTGTTTTGTCTGCATCCCTTTACCATCTCAGATGTTGACTGATATATTTACTTGCCTGGAATACAATAGAAAAACACCATTCTGTTAAAGATGCCATTTCTTTAACTATTTTTAGTAGCTGTTTCTTTAGCTACTTTCAGTAAATTATGCTTCAGTTATATCAGACTATGGATACACTCCTTACTCAACTTCCTTTTGTGATAATTTTGTCCTTGCCTTGGTTTAGCTTAGAACAACTTTAAAAAAAAATTATTCCCATTGGAAAAATGTTATTTTCTTCCAGAGGTTGTGAACACACAAAATATGCATTATGATATTGACACATGTTTGAAAAATGCAAATACAGCTTTTACTTTTGGAGAGCTCAAGAGATACAGGGTAGAAGAAATTCAGGATAAGTAATCTTTCATATGTACCTTACCTCTTTTATGGTACCTTAATGTGCCCCCTCCAACTCTGAAAATTCAGTCTGGTCCTGCTGCTGTCCTTGGAGACTTAATTTTTTAAGCCTCAACCCCAGTTTACAAGGTCTGACCAATTGAATTTAATTTTCTTTACTTTCCAGTTCAGTTTAAGATTCAGGTGAAGGTTTAGTCTTTGACCTTCTGAATTTTCCTTTTCCTGTGCAATGTCTCAGTATTATTATTATTTTAATATAAAGTGTTTTTCTTGCTGTTGTTTCTTGTTTTGCTTTTTTTTTTGGTTTTAGCTTTTTTTTTTTTTTTCCTTTTTTTCCTACAGGGTGTGTTAAACAGTCGCTCTGAGCACTTTTTGGATTCATTGGATCCGGCTCAAATCCATGGGACAAACATTTTGCTGCCACAAGAGCCCCAAGGATCTATAATCTGCAGTTCCTTTCACTACCCTGGCAGCCGTTTCGAGCCAGGATGTGTTTGATGGGTTTTCTGGAAGAACACGTTTTCATTCAAGAGTTGTTACAGCAAAATCTGAGCAAGGTCTGTGGTGGTCTGTGTCCGTAGGAAACAAAGCCAGCTTTCTCCTCAGCTTTGGGTTTCTTTTCAGCACTTACCAACTTTGTCTCACAACACCCTTGAGGAGGCAAATGTGCTTTTTGTTCCTTTATTAACAGTCAAGGGAAGTGGGACATTAAAATCCCAGTGGTGCAGCAGGAGGCAGCCCTGGGGGTGCCCTGTTGGGGTGAAGGGGGTTGGGTGTAATGATTTGGGTATCCCCCTCCCCCTGCTCACCTTACCCAGCCCGCTCTCCTCTCACAAATTTATTCCCTCAAAATTGAGAGCCACAAAGCTTTGGGATCGCTGCTTTGGCGGGAAGGCGGAGGATTTATTTGCCTCTGACCTCTTTGGGGAATTATTTTTTGTTCCTCTCCAGCCGGCGCATGGCCCTGCCATCGCTGTCGCCCCTCGCCAATTTTAAGGCATTTATATACAGATCCCTGTGGAGGAAACGGGCTCTTTTTGTCCCGTATTGCAGATGGCAGCTACGAGAGAGGAAGATTTATGTCACTTGCCCAACTTCACCCTGGAAGTCTTTGGCAGAGATTTGCACCCTGCTCTCCAACCTCTTGCTACAATTTGTGACCGTCGCTGCGGGCTCCACTTCAGCCTCTCCTCTCTCAAAGCAGGGATAAGGACCATTGCCATCTTTCACCCTTATAACAAATCTCATAATATTTCATTAATATTTTTTTTAAAATCCCTCTCTTTGAAGTGGTTTGAGAGTGTGTGAAATGAAACTCCACGTTCATTAAAAGGAAAATTAAAGTTATAGACGAAAGGCTGAAAGATTAAAAACTGTAATACTAACAGAAACAATTCAACATTAAAAAAACAATCTGCTGCTCCAAGGGTCATCCCGTGATTTACATGGAGTGATTCATGCTTTTCCAGCACAGTTGCTGGGCAGACCTATGTGGGAATACTATGTGGGAATACTAATTCCAAAAAGGATTCAGCTCCTCATCAGATGTTGAGGAGTATGGCACGCTTTCATTTCTCGTGCACATTAGCCAAATTAAATCAAAATAAATATCAATGAAAATATTGCACAGGACATAAAACCCCATCCATTTGCGCTCTATCCATATGCTGCTTTACGAGACGCTGGGTTCCTCTCCTGCTCCGCTCTCCGCTGCCAGCCCCGAGAGCGCAGCAAGGCGCGGAGTCCCCGATGTGCTTTAGGCATTCATCCCTCAAATACTGCACCCCCGGGCCTGCCTGCATTTTTGTTCTCACCATGTCTCTTCGCCAGGCTCATTCCTGCCCGCAGGCAGCAGCCGTGGCCTGGCTAACGCCTGCCAGTCCGGCTCCAGTCCCAGCCGCGGCGGGATCAGCTGTAAGGTGTGTTTCTGCCAGCAAAAAGTGCAGTTGCTAAAAGGTGCTTTGTTCATTAATTATCTTAGGGTTGGTTGGGACACAGCAAACATTTCCATGTCCAGGAAGTTGTTTCTTAGGGATGCTGGCGTGTTCACACCCCGTGGGGTCCCTCGCTGTACATCTGCATCCGAGACGCCGCGCAACCTGCAAAGCACGGAATGCCCGCTGCAGAAATCACAAAACACAGCTCAGGGTTTAAAAATGCAACCAATTTGCATCGGCTCAGGAGCAAGAACAGTGATTCCTGCTTTTAAAACTGGTGCAGTTTTAGGGTAATGTGATTAGAGATTCAACATTTCCCCCTCTCATTATTATTTAGCTTCCTCATTTGAAAGCTCAGGTTTGAGGGAAGGGGGATTGCTTGGAAATTACAGACGCAGCCAAATTTCTTCCTTCCCCTTTGACAGGGCAGCGCTGATGGTTATTGTTCTTTTCTAGCTGCATTACGCTGTCCTTGATTTTTGTTTCAAGCAGTCTAATGGCATGATGTCAAATCCTGCTAATTGGTTTAGGATTAAAATGCAGGGCCACATCACTCTCTTGATTAACCAGCAGCAAAACTGCTTTTGTCTAACGATCGTTTCAGAGGAGGAAGAAAATAAAGCATATAAAGGAAGCTTCAGGCTTTTGTCAGTAAAAATACATAGGAAACTACTTCTCTTTTTTTTTTTTTTTTAAGCAAAAAATTACCACTGTGAGGCCCACTAAGTTTTGACTTGCAGCACTTAAAAGACAGCCCTGCGGGAAAAGATCGCTTCCTGAGGAGCAAGGACTGTGCTTTATGTAGCATCCAGCCAGTCGCTGCGCTGTACCAGAGGATCTATGGTGGGACCTGCTCATATTTAATAAACCAGCAACAAAAAATCAGAATGTCTCAGCCCTGTTTCTGGCCTCTCTGACTCCCAAACGACTCCATTTCCAGCTGAGTTTGCGCTGGGATTCATAATCCGAGCCAGGGCTGTGGTGAGCAGTGCAGGGCCTGGGAGCTGCTTGGAGCTGCAGGCACTAGCGGGGAGCTGAGCAGGATGTGAGATGCCAGGGGCCAGGGGGAAGGGTCTGTATCTGCAGCATCCCCCCCCCACTCATCCCAAGGACTCAGAAATCAATTCTGCATCCCAAGATGGGGTTGTGCTTGCTGGGACTGAACTCACCTGTTGGGTAATGAGTATAAAGAAGTAGTTTTTTGTGGGGATTATTGGGAGGAAAGAGGGGGATAGTTCAAATTAAAATAGTGGAAGCAACACTAAACCACTACTTTGTTACCCCTTTGCTATAAAAGTATACCCCAACAAACCCACAAGAAACCCCACCATCAACCCTCAAAGATTCTCCCTGGTGCACTCTTTAATCTCTTTGGCTCCTGTTTTCCCTGACCAGCTGAGGGATTTAATTTCCAGGGAATTAGACGTCCAATTCAGGGCATTGTTTTGGGAACTGTGCACACGATTTACCACACACAGTCCTGAAAGTCACTGTCGGACCCAGCGCTCCCAGCACGCTCCAGTCCCGGCCCCGCTCTGCCGGGAGGTGAAAGGGACTTTATTGGGAAGGTTTTGATGCATTTGGCATGTCTTTGAACCTGGCTTCCCCAAAGGGAGAGAATGAACTCAGGCGGAGAAAGAAAAAGGAAATAAAAGGGCCCTTCCCATCTGCCTGGCTGCATTCAATGGGGAGCTTTTTGAAAGGTATAATAGAGGTTTGTGTGTTCCTGCTGAGATTTGTTCTGGTCAACTTCTCCAAGGCGCTCAGACAGGGCGGTGTGGTGTGCCCGCCTTCCCCCAGCATCCTCAGAAAGAAATTACAGTGAGTTTTTTTTCTGATTATTTTTTTCTGCTCCAAAAAGTGTGTGTCCTGCACACACGTTACTCTCACACAAAAGCAAACCGAGCCACCCCCACTGAAAAATAAAGTGGGGTTTTCTCTGTTTCTTTTACCAGCAGTGCAGTTAAGCCCAGCATTCCCATCGTCAAACATCGCCACAGGGTCCAGTCCAGGTTTTCCTAGAGAGCATCTCTGGGATGGTAGGGATGGGGAGCATCTTAGGGCTCAGCCTGTTTTTCCAGTATCCCGTTGTGGAAGTAAATCAACAGCACATTGGCTGTACTCCAGAAGTTGTCCTGCTCTTTATTGTGCTCTGTGAGTTGTTGGTGTGATTATTAAAAGCCAGGTCAGACGCAAAGCTGGTTTTTTTCACTGCGATCCTGGCCCCGGCACAGACGAGATGACATTTAACAACACTAAACGCTCAGGAAGGGGCCCCGTGTCAGCACCCAACAGGTACAGAAACGCCTGAGAAGTTCTTGGCTGTCGTGAGCAGCTTTCTGCTTTGCAAACTATGATAGAAAGAGTGGAAATACGTTTTGTCTGCTTTTCCCTGACTCCGGGACTCCAAAGCAGGAAGATGAGAACATCCTGCACACATGTTAATTAGTCATTCCTTAAAACCAAATGTCACAGCACTCATATTTAATTCCAAGAACAGACTGATGAATATGTACGTATAGTTATATTTCATTTACATACTCTGGGATTTGTTAAGAGACGCCTAATAAAACCATCTAAAATGAATTAGATGTTCTCCTAACAACATTTATTTTGAACACACGTATATCAGAGCAGCATTCCCAATACTGTAACAGGAGATTTTCACAGAAAATTGCATTTCATAAATACAGATAGTGAGTTAAAGCAGCCAGCTCTAAAATGGGGTTTGATTCCTGATGTAGCAAACGCACAAAAAAAGGAGCTTGAGGACCAGGGGGAAGCATTAATTGGGTTTATAGGAGCCCAAAGAGGATGAAGCTCGGCACCTAGAAGGCTGTAATAAAGTGTCCATGTAAGGAATCTGTTAAAGGAACTGAATTAGCTCCTCAAAGCCAGCAAGAAAAGAAAATCCCTTTGAGACATTTGTGTCTTATTTTCAATTTCCTGGTTCTGTATGTAATATATTTTTAAATTCATTCTTTCCCTTGCTCAGAGACCCTACCCCTGGAGCGGGGTGGCATCCAGGTAGCTGCGCTCATAAAAGCCCTTGCAGCCCAAGAAGCCCTTCAGGTTTTGGTGGGGTTTTTTTTGCTTGTTTTGGTTTTTTGTTTGGTTTTTTTTTGTTGTTTGTTTTTTGTTTTTCTTTTCAAACCAAACTAGTTTATAGGAAAAAAACACTGTGGTTTTGTTTTTTTTTATTTTATTCTTCCCCCTCTAAGTGCCCTGCACCCTTCGAGAGCTCAGGGAGCACAAAAACAGGGCTGCTCGTCCTGGCAGGCACATCATCCGCTCGACAGGTCCTGCCGCGGGAATTCAGCTCACACTCCCGCTGGTGTGCGAGTCTGGAACAAATCTGGCTCACTTGCCTGCCTTGGCTGGCCTCCGTAGGGCTAAGAGGGGTGGAAAGCAGTAAAATCTCCTTTCAGTCTATAAAAATCTGCAGAGATATTTGGAATGTGCAGAGGGAGCAGATCTCCCGAGTAAACCAGAGCAATGATTAAAATAGTCGCTTTTCTGACCGTAATCGCAATTTAAATACTGCAGCTTTTGTTTGCAGAATAGCTTTGGTTTATATTCTAGTGACAGTCACACAACTCCAGGGGTTCTTTTTGGAGTTAGTGGCAAAAACATGTGGTTTGAATTTAAAGTCTTAAAGTTAGAGGATCAACGTTACTCCAGCACAGATATTGCCAGTGTCTCTGCAAGTCATAATTTTTAATCATCAGGAACCTGAGCACTCCTCATTAAATGATTAAAGTGAACAATAATGAAAAAGCTAAAAGAAAGGATAAATATATAGCCATAGAAGCAGGAACATCTATTTTCAAAGCAGAAAAAAGTACTACTATCCTGACAAAGGGCAATAAACATATCAAACTAACTCACTCTTTTTTTTTTTTTTTTTTATGCTGAGAATGTAATCTTAATAAAGTAACAAATTACAGATGGCAGGGTAAGATTACAGCTCTTCTAGACTAGGACTAGAGTTTTCCCATAAACAGGTTATTGCTATGGGTTCTGGTCATAATTAACTCTGTATTTATGTCCCCCTTCGAGAATAAAATGATCCCTGAGACACGATTCTTGATGTGAAGTTTTCTGTTGGGATATCAGCCTTGTTTGTCCCTGTGAGCAACATGTTTGCATTTTCTCCAATAACAACAACCCCAATTCAGCTGTCCCAGACCTGAGCCCTCCCAAAATAAGGAGCGGGACATGCAAACTGGAGCAGGGCTGGGTTTTGCAGACCAGCATCTGTATACAGTGGAAAGGAGCAAAGATATCCTCTTTCTGCATAAGAACATACCTTAACTGAGCTGCTTTTTCCTTCCTCAGACAGGTCATGGGCTGTGCAGTACCCCAGAGCCAGTTCCAGCAAGGCCTGGAATGGGAAGGATCACGGTTATACCAAAGGTGGCACTTGTTGGAATCTTTGGTACGTTATATTTACAGGAATTGCATTGGGTGGGTTGCAGTTTTAGTCTTTCAGTTCCTGTTTTGGAGAAAATATGTGAAAAAAATAAATAAACAAAATATTAAAAAAAAAGGTAAAAATATTGACTGAGGCATTACGTGGTATAAATAAATATAAATACATGAGGCTTGGTGCAGGAAAGAGAGCTGATGGTATCGATACATTGGCAAGAATTCAAGGGTTATATTTGAATTGCAGAAAATAATCTGGTGAGTCATCTCCCCCGCGCCTTGGCTTGCCATCCTCTCCCATTTTCACTTTGACCCAGGAGGGCACAGCACAGAGCCTGAAAATAGGCACAGGATGATGTGGTGTGGCTGCATCGCTCTGCTCCACACAGGGAAGAGAACCAATCCCATCCTCAGGCATTCATGAGGGATGATCAGGAAAAGTCTGAAAACTGCTGTTATCATAGGCATTGTCATGCTTTTCTTTGAACTGTATTCCACCACCTAACAGAAAAAAGCAGATTAGAAGAATCCCCCCGCAAAATAAGTGATAATAATAATATTGATGATGATAATAATAAAGTGATGACACATAGAAACACAACACACAAAGTCACTGCATTGTTAGTCCATGGACTGAAAACTGAATCACAAACCAAATTAAAACAAGAAACTGGAGGCATACACATTAAATATGAAAATGAAGTGTGGGATTGTAACATTTGCAAATGCAAAATAGGCTTCAGCCTTAGGCTCTATCACAGATGACCCATCCATGACATCCTGTGCAAACTGAATAAGCTACTTACCTCCCAAAAACAGCTATTTTCCAGCAGACTTCCAGGGCTGGCCATTTTTTTCTGAAATAAGGTGGTTGTGGTCTGGCCTGAAAGTGTCTTAATGCAAATGGCCAAGGTGGGCACCCAAAGGCAGAGAGGTGGCTCCAATAGCTGGATCACCAATCTCTCTTCCAGATGACTTACCAGGGCTTTGCTCTCCCAGCTGCATTACAAGTTGCTTTTAGAGGGGCCAGGGTTTTTCCACAGCATCCTCTGGTGCTCTGTATCACTTCCCAAATCTAGTCCTGGGCACTAAACTCCTCTGCAGAGACCCAGTGCATCTCAGCTGGAGACACTCTCTACTCCCTCATGTCCCTAAATATGAAATGCAATCCCCAGGAGAGAACCTGCCCTCATGTTTTTGTATTAATCTGCTGCCTTCCTGTAGCTGGAGTCTGACAGTCCTGATCCACCCTGTTCTTCTCCTCCACTACTGAGTACCAAATCCTGACTCTTACCAGCACAGGCACTTTTTGGTCAGGTTAAAGGGAATTTGAACTTCTGTATATCTATTTGTACACACATAGGCATACACACACACACATACAGTACACATAAAGTAAGTACACATAAATACAGATTATTAGCAAAAATTACCTAAACCCCTATGATACTAACAATAGTAATACAGAGTAATACTAATACATTGATATTTCACTTCTAAGAACCCAAGGCATGAGCTAGAGAAAGGATTCTTATGAGCACAACACCTGGGCTATATACAGGTATTTTTCCCTTCATCCTACTGGGCTCTTGTCCTTATCCAAGCTTGACCACTTCACATAACTCATAGAGCCCTTCATGAACTACCAACATACTATGTTCTTATTTAGGATATTGGTTACATTTACTTTTTATACAGTTTTTGACCCCCAGTCCTCAAGCATGCATATGAGGAGCCTTACAAACAGGTGGCTGGCTGGGGTATATGTGCAAGAACAAGCTTTCTCTCCCATCCTGCCATCTCTCAGCTTGCCATCTTCCATTTTGCTTCATGGATTTTTCCATTAAAAGAATCAAGCATTAAAAAAATTAATAATAAAAAAAAATCATTGAAGTCTTAAGACCTATGCATTAAGGTACTTTTTCTTTCTTTTGCACACTGGAATGAGTTATCTCAGAGATGCATCAAATCTAGTGTTTCTTAATTGATCTTCTCAGCCCAAAAGCCCTTTGGAGTCACATGCAGGGCACTGGGACCACAGGGCTTGGTCTTAGCCTCAGTTTTACGTAGAAGAGCATTCCATTATCACTCTGCTTCCATCCATACATGAATTATATGTACAGTATAGATGCCTGATAAACAGTATCAAGGGTTTCAGCACATTCACTAAAGAGATTGTTTTTTTAGTAATTCCTCCATGCACGAAAAAATCAAGTGCTCAGTCCAGAAGCATCCCCAGAGTCATGCCCAGGTTTTATTCTGCCCTGACCTTGGAATTCTGGTGTTTTGCAAGTGATAGCCCTGATAAGAGGGAAGCTGTGCAGCAGCATAAACTCCTTTGGTGAGCTTTCCATGTGCCTTCCCATGGACAATTTGTATTACAGAGAAGCTACAAAGAGGCAATATATTTGGAATGGTTGATAGAGGAATATTGCTCATATAGGCAAAACATAACATTTTTGATCCCATCCTCATTTAATTTTTAAGAAAAATAAATGATCCCTCTGTCTTGGCATATGCATCACGTTGAAATGGAGCCATTACTCTGGGCAGCTTTTTCATAATGGCTCGCATAATGTGGTATGAAAATCATGTACAGCTCCTGCATTTGTATCTCAGAAGGAAAATAAAAGGCAGTTAAATTATAATGTAAGAACTAAGCTGTGAATGGATGTTGCATTCAAGGAGTCTAATGCTTAAGAGGGGGAAATAACAAGATTTTTTTTTCCCTGTTCTAGATATTTTATCCATGCCACAAACTCAACCGTCAAATGTTTCAAGAGAGGTCAAAACTAGTCTATCTGTCTTTTTTATGTGAGTTTGTGAAAGGAATCTCTGTGTGGAGTTGTACAGGAATTGACACGATAAACCTAAATGGCTTCTTTACAACTGTTAGGGTTTTCTGTAAACACATGCTGTCCTGCCAGCCAACCAGCTTCAAACCCGGGTGCTGAGCACAGCAGATGGTCTATCCTGCCGATACACACTCTACTAATTCATATTTCAATACACAGCTTTGCTGCCTAAAGGAAGCCACTGCATTCTTGAAAAGTTTTAAAACTTCCAATAGCTGGTAATTTTGGGTGGGTAATTGTGATGGGAGGGAAAGGCTTCAAAAAGAAGGTGACTGGCTCTAACAGAAAAGGACATTTTGAAGGTGCTTGTTGCACCATGATGTATTGTAAACATGAGTCCTGCCATGCAGTGCCTCCTGCCAAAGGGAAACCATGACATGGCTATGCTGCATTAATAGAGGAATAAATAAACACAGAGCTGCACCCCCTAGAAGCAAGGTAGGTAGAAGAAAAAAGGTAAGAGGTGATGAAAATTAGGGCTACTGGCAGCAATCATGGTCATAACATCTTGCCATTGGCATGGCCACATCAGACAATCAGGATTTTCATGGAGAGGGCAAGTTTTTGGAAGGGATGCAGGATAATGCAGCAATTCAAACCACTGCCTTGATTATTCTTTGCACCAGCTCTGCTACTGCTGCTGTGTGCAGGATCATATTTTGGCATCCACACTTTGATGTAAAAACCCTTCTATGTTAGCTAAATCATCCTTCTCATCTCCTGCAGCAACCGATTATGGCCTCAGAGGTTTGGGTAAGATGGTGCAGTACAAGATCCTTGTCTTTCCACTGGGCTACCAGAGCAGGATGTGAAGGGGAAATTGTTATTATACCCCAGAGTCCCTACATGGTTATATTAACTTCTCTTCCTTCATTGCTGACAACTGCTCACACCAGAAATAATAAAAAACCAGAAGGAGCAATGATCCTCAGCAGGAATAACCCTCTCCTTGCAATGGGATTGCTTCTTGAATTCCTCTTGCTATGGTTTTATCAAATGTTGCACCTCCTCCACTGAGCCGTGCTCAGTTGGGCGACTTCAGGTTCAACTAAGTAGGAGCAGAACCTCCTTCCTAAATTCATTAGATCTTTTTCCCAATGGAGAAATGCAAATTAATATTCACTTTCTGCTTTTACTTCAATTTACTTACTTTGTCTTCCAGAGACTAAACTATGGAGATATTTCCAAATCCACAGTTTGTTTCTCTGGCTTTAACAGAGAATGAACAGTTCTGATAAATTTGTTAGAGGGGAAAACAGAACCAAAGTGTCCCTAAGAGAGGGAGAACAGCCGTTGTTTTCATACAGTATTTTGGCTTTCCTTAGTTAAAGAGTCTCAGATGTGTAGCTGGGTTTATTCTTTAAAAAAAAACCAAAAAACACCCGAATTTGGAGATTTTGGGTATTGCTAAAGAACAGAAAACTAAAAACATGAATTGCTGCAGGAGTCACTCACACTGTAGCTAAAGAGAACATAAATCAGCAGAGAGACAGAGTCTTACAACTTAATCACTAATTAAAAAATACTAGCATGCAATTAAGGAGTGTTCTTTGATAAACATGCTGTAGTACATGAATTAGCTCTATGCAGACACACAGCATTGCAATAATTTAGTCTTTTTATATTCTAGGCATAAACACATGGCATGTGTGCGTGCATATTATATTGATGCAAGGTAATGCACAGGGCTCTGTGTGTTGCCATTTCAAATGAAAAATCTGCTTACTGTAAATCAGATAACTCCCTTCCATTTAGATTTAAAACTTGTCCTTAGCACACCTACTGCCAAGCAGTGCGGGAAAGGCACAGGGAGCATTTCCAGAGGGAAAAGTGGAAGCTAATGAGAAACAGCCACATATCTGTGCCTTTTCATGAGGCCCTATAGGGCTCTTGGTTCATGGGATAGAAATCATTGCAAAGGGCAGTGGCGCTATTTCAGATGGATCAGGGTGTCTTGTCTCCCCAGCTTTCTTTTGGTCACCTAAACCACTTTCAAAGTGTTTTAAATGAGACATATTCTCATCACACACATCCAATTGCAAACGAAATTCTGCTACTTGTGGCTCAAAAAGCCCTACCCCTCATCCAACTGCTTCTCTCAGTGCCTCAGTTGAAGGCACTTGTTGTCCAACATGGCACTACTCACACTTTGGGTTACTGTGGCCACAATCCTGAACACCATGGATGTCAGGGACCATGTTGCTGAAGAAGACCTAGAGCAGAGCAGGTGAATGATAATAAGATGGATTGACCAGACAAAAGATGAATGGCAAAGCAACACAAACTCACCACACCATCCCTCACATTTAATCTCATTTCTCCTGTAGTGAGGATGTTTAGATTGGGAATACATTTTCTAAAGTTCTCCTCCTTTCTTACTTTCCAGAAAATCCTCCCAGAAAGTCTTGGCTCCCTGCAAGCCCTGGGGGTGTCTCAGGGTGCTGCTCGGGTGGACAAGTGGCTGCGCTCCCGCCTGGAGGCAGAAACCACAGCAGCAAAAAAACAGATTTCACGGGAAGAGCAGGGGAGGGAGGGGATGAACAAAAAAAAAAGGGAATGTGTTAGTTAACTTCGTGTGGTTGTTCGAGCCACTTCCTGACACCCGAGCGAGTCATCTGAATTTAACACATTTCTCTTTTGCATTTTGCAGCTCACCTTTAAGAGAGCACAAGGCGGAGGAGGTGGGAATATATGGACTTCAGCCCTTCCCATCAGCTTCCCCCTGTTACTTTCAAAGATTTTCTATTTAGAAAGGAAGGCTTTTTTTTTTTCCTGCTGTTCATACATTACACATACTTCCCAGCCAAAATATCTTGCTTGTATATTTTTTTAATTTAGCCTACATTACTCAAAATTGCTCTAAGAATAATTAAAGAGAATAACTTTCCCCATCTCTTTGATTTACCTGAGATTTTTTTAAAACATTAAAGAGTGTTTTAAGGAATAACCGTTAAAGAAAAAAAAGAGAGATTAACAATTAAAGAAAAAAAACACAACCCCACATCCTCCCTCTTTTCTGAATCTAATGAAAATGTTTAAACTGCATGGATATTTATCCTTATGAAAAACATATGAACAAAACAAAACCCCCAGTATTCTGGTGAGATTCTGTAAACAGGACAAAACGTTAACTGCGGAAATATATCATTTAAGACCTTTATTTCCTTCTAGCTCTTTCCAGGCACCAAACGAGCTTTGCATGCAGATTTCATTTCAGCTGGGTGGAATCGTTCTCATAACTATTCTCCAAAGCCCAAGCTCTGAGGTCAGCCCTGCTCTTTCTGCAATGGGATAAATATTAACAAGTGTGACTAACCCATTCCTTGCCCCCTTCTTAAATTTTCCAGAGTGTGTCAGCAAGCATGAAAGCCAGAGATCAAAAAAGGCAAGGGTTTTATTGTTGGAACCGGATGGGAAGAGGGATGCAATATCGGCAAAGTCCCAGCACCTCGGAGAAGTTGGTCTATAACAGCACCAATAAAAAAAAGAGGGAATTACCGGGCTACAAGAAAATGACCTTGCTCTCCTGCTCAAAAATGAGTCAGTTTTAACTTGACCCCCACAATAATGTTTTACAAGTGCTGGACCAATGCCCCAGGAGCAGACCTGGCCTTTCACTGTTTGTCCCAAAGGACCCAGGAGAGGACAGAGGTGGTGGGGAAGGTGTAATTTAGCTCAGTGCCTCCCGGGCAGAGGTGACAGGGCTGTGGTGGCCTCAGGGCTCATGCTCACTCCTGTTTTTCTCTTCACAGCTGCTGCTTATGAAGTTTCATGGTGCCATGGATAATCTTCCTCCCTCCCATGCAATGCATCCTGCTGTGACCCGAGCTGCCCTCCATGCTGTAGTTTGTAAGACCAACACAGGTCTGGTTGTGTCACCCAAATGTTTCTGGGGGCCAGACTCTCAGTCTAACAGGTCTGGTGTTCAGTAAAGCACCTCGAGATGCTCGTTACATTTGCAGCTTGATATCTGTGCAGCAGCAGCAGCAATGCAGAGCCTGGTTTGGAGAGGAATTAGGACACGCAAGCCAAGCAGCTTTGTCCATACTCCACTGAGTGATGAGAAAGCTGTTGATTGCACTTCTGGTGAGCAGGGCATTGGGAAGGCCGGGAAAGGAACTAGTGAGGGTTGTGAATCTATTGGCATCTATCACACAGCATCCCAAAACTGGACGAATACTGCAGACATGGGGGGAGCAAGGGGCCTCTGTGCACCCTGCTCATACCAAAAATTTGTCAAAACCAGATTATAGCTTTGAGAATATTCCTGTTCAAGGTCAAGTCTATTCCTGACAAAGCCAAGGAAAATTAAAAAACAGCTGAAAAAACCAAACCACCAGAAATGATGAACAGAAACATTAAATCCTGAAAGAGGTTTTATTCACTTGATCAACAAAAACCTGTGCTCATATGATTCAAAGCTGTTCACTCATAATGCACAGGCCTCTTGCTTTCCAGAATGTGTTTAATTCTCCTACACATTCTCTCAAATGAAAGGTATGCCCCAGATTTCAGCACCTCCATTGTGACTACTCCACTGACCCCATAAGAAATCATCTCACTGGGTTTGTTTCCACACCTGGCTTTCTTCTGCTGCAGGATGTCAAACTACAGAGCAGAACATACCCAAGAACTTATACTCTCCTCTCTCCATTTTTGAAGCATTTTACGTCTAAAAAAAAGCAATTTCTGAGGTCACTGGGTTCACAGATTATAAGAAGAAAAAGAAGATACATGAATTATGGTCCTGACCTATATAGTTCCTGTTCCACTCTCTTGTTCCACCCTGGTGCAATGATAGCCAGAGCTTCGAAAACATGAAGGGAGCTTGGCATGAAAAGAAAGGAAGAGATAACGTTTACTGACCCCCTATCCCATAGCCTGTGACATCTGCCATAACTTGACAGAGTATGTGAAAAGCTTCTGCAGACACTGTACGGGAGAGATGACATTTAATGAAAGCAAGCCTCGTGCACAAAACTCAGATCTAAAGCCCTTGTGTTTTTCCAGCCTAGGAAATATTTGATTTGGGTTTCTTTGCTCAGTAGCTCCTGATCTCCTAAAGATTCCTGTATGTAAATGCCAGATACCCAGCTGAGTCCAAGGAGAGCCAAGAAGGAGCCACCTGCAAACCACTGTCCAATCTTGTCCATGGCACGGCAGTGACATTCTCTGCAGCAACACTGAAGAAGCCATGTGGGAAAGGAGAGAAGGAAAAGTCCCAGGAAACCTTGTAACTTGCAGAATTTCTAAACTTTGCCCAATTAAACTGTGGTTCCATTAAACTTTTCTTTGCCTGGCAGAGGACTGGCTGAGTTATGGGGAACAGCCCATAGCAATTAAAAGTGAGAGCAATGTTACAAATCTAAGATTTGGTAGACAAAAATCTCTTGCAAAAGACACAGCCCTATGGAGTTACAGCTTACCCAAATGGGGAGAACCAAATTAAATTAAAAAACATATTGTATATTATCTTAATTTATATATGAGATTTTAGACAGTTCCAGATTTCTGGATTAAATACAATACCATGTGGCTCCATTAAGCCTCACTGGCCTTTTAGAATATTATTGAAAGAAATAATATATAACGGTTTGAAAGGTTTTTGGATGCTTGGTGGCATCATTATGCAATTTATTAATATGTGGGCAGAGTGACTAATGCCTCTGAGGATGTATTTTTAGTTTAAAAAAAAAATAAAATAAAAAAGAAAAGTGTGCTGGGGGGACCAAGAAGGAAAAGCAGCTACAAATGGGTTTGTGCTGGCAGCATGTGATGGCATGGATCATTCTGTCTGTCCCTCCACACGCCCAGTGCCCAGAATAGCACTTCTCCTCTCACTGATGGCATTTTCAAAGGGGCCCAGAGGCCCCAGCAATTGCAATTTGGTAGAATTTGGGTATCTAGCTCCTTTTCTGGCATCTTTCCTCCATTTTTAAGGCTGAAAGGGACAATTCAGATCATCCAGTTTAATGCTCAGTATAAATCCCCAAGAAAATAATTTCACACATTCACTCGCTAATTGAGCCTACTACTATACGTTCACCAGAGTCATCTGGGCTGGCCTCCAGTTCTGATTTCAAGATGCAAAAGGATGACAAATCCCCTGCCCCTTTCAACAGTCTGCCCCCTTTCCCTTCCCAATCTCTCAATTTTGCCTGTCTTAAATTTCCAGCTGTTGCATCTCGTTATGTTTTTTCCCCGATTAGACTAAAAAGCCCTTTTGTACACAGTATTTTTTCCTCCAAAGGCATTTAGTGCACAGAGTTAGGTCACTGCCTGATCTGCTTTTTTTGCTAAGTTCACCAAATTGAGCTCCTTAAGCCTCTCTCCACAAGATTTCCTTTTCTAACCCTCAAATCATCCTTGTAAAACTGAAACATAGGCCAAGAGTTTACAGCCTCTATCATGAATTCGAATCCCTGAATCTCAGGTTAATAAAGTCTCTATTTTTTAATAAGGCTTCTGTGAAATGACTAGAAATAGTCCCACAGGATGTGTTATTTGGAGGTAACTATTTCCACATGGGCTGGAGCTACAGCCCTGAGAGCAACGTATGGGGAGAGCTGTAGGAGGGCTCTTCCCTCCTCTCCTTACCTTTTTCTTCAGCCTTTTTTAAGTGCTCTCCCAAGTTGCATTTTAAAAACCAGTATTTTTCTTGGAGAGTCCATCCTGGTGGACACCTCCTAGGCCTCTAGGAAGAAGGTGCAGGATTTTACCTCCCCATGCACACACAGAAACCAGTTTGCCTCCCCCAGCACAAAACCTGCCCTGCACCCGCCAGCACCAGGAGACCCATTTCCAGTGGGAGCAGAAGCATTGACAGGGTCCTGGCACATCTCACTCTGCAAACTGCTCCTTCCCCAGACCCAAACAGACATCTAGACAATCTCTGAAAACTTACCAGACACTCTCTTTCCTCCCAAATTGACAGGATTAAAAACAAACCCTGGATTTTTTTTCCCCTGTCGTTTTCCAGCGTTGGTGTCTACACTTCATACTGTTTCTTCCTGTTATTAATTGGCTTGTTTTTGTTTGTTAAATGATAGTGGAGTTTCACAGGAAGCTTGTCTCTGGATCTTTGGAGAACCTTCCCAATATTGCCAGAAATTCAGTGAAATGGCAGGACATGTTGAGTTCTAGACACTCTCCTTGGGCGCTGGAATTACAATTCACTGCTCCACAGCTTCTGGATGAGATAATACTCTGCCTTCTCATCAGTCCTGTTTGATTTGGATGAGAGATTACACACCAAATGAGGAGTTTAAAAGATGTGCCTGCTTAGTTCCATTCAGCCTGACCTTTATGTACCCCACAGGGACAAACTTGCTCTTCCAAACTAAGACGAAAAATTTCAGAGTCAATCACAAGTGATAAAATATTTGAGTGAGCAAGGTCAGTGCCAGCCCAGCCACTTCTAAACTTGTTTTCCTCAGTTGATTTGTTTGACTTTCTTTTACTCAGCTTTACTTTCAATGTTTTTGATCCAAATCCTTCAAGGCATCATTCACTTCAGGCCATTTTCCATCTCCCAGAGTTGCCCACCCATGTTGTGAAATCTTCCTGTGACTTAAGAGCTCCCCTAACCTACCTTTCTATTTGGCTTAAAAATACCCCTTTTCTTTCCCTCCCTGATGAAAAACCACCAGTTTAAACGAGTCAGTAGGTGTAAATAGAATAAATCACCTAATAAAGTGACCCTCCTTTCCAGCTGTGAGTTGTCCGCAAAGAACATATAGAACATATGGATTAAAAGAACATGCCATTGCTGACTCAGCATCCCAGTACTGTGTTACACCCAAAAGTACTGCAGGTTTGTATAAGTAGCCTGCAATGTTTATCAGATTAGTAAGAAAATTTTGCTTTTAGGTGTGAAATTTAAAATTTCCATGTGGCAGGGACAACTGCTCAAGTATTCTTAAAAATACCTGTGCTAGACAAAGCCTAAAAGCTTGGTTGTGTGGTGGAAGCAGGTAGGAAAGGGTCAAAAAGGCAAAGATTCTTGCATGGAAAGCAAATAAAAATAATTTTTGAAGGGAAAGAATATTAGTGGATGTTTCCTAATGGTCACCATTCACCCTGGTCGTTCTTTGCACTCCACTTGCCAGAGGCATAAGGTTTTAATTTTGTTCATGGTCAATGTAATGTTTGGAGTTTCATCTGCTTGAATGATTCTTTGGAGACCAGTTGCAATAGCAACATTTTGGGTTTAAATTGCATTTGTGTGTTTGTGGGTTTTTTTTACTAGAACTGAATCTTACTAAGGAGTGAAACTGGAAAGGATAAAATTAGATTCCTGAACCTTCTTCTCTTTTTAGAACCAGACATGAAAAAAAACTGCATCCAGTTTTGTTAAATATTTTTTTCCACATCTGGTGTTCAGTCAAAACCATAAGAAAAGTGCTGGAAATCTCACAAGAAAGCTCGTACTCTTGTGATTTCCAGTCCAATTTTTGCAGCCACAGGAGATCTGTATAGTTCAGATAAGAATCTGAAGCAGAAGCCAAACCCAAACTGTGAACCTCCTGAGGCTCACCCCACCCACAACAGCTTATGCCTTTACCCATCATTTGCAGCAGATGTTCTCCCAAATTCTCTAGTGAGATAAATTCCATTAAAAGTTTCAGGAGAAAGATTATAAGATACATACAATACCAAATAAAAGTGTCCAAAGGAGCTCATCGTGGCCCATTAAACTATTGTTAAAGACCTTCATCCAGCAGCATCTATTGATTAGAGCAGTTTTCTTCTCCTTACTACTCATTTTTCCATGCTGGGCTTTGGGGGCTTTTTGATCTAAAGGCCACTGACGTCAATGAGAGCATTTCCATTGTCTTCAGCGGGCTTCGGATCAAGCCCTTGACAAACTGGTTCTCCCACAGGTCAGTCTGCAGAGTGGGTTTCTGCCAGCAGATTGTCCCTAGAACGCTTCACTGTAGATTTACAGTCTTTATAAAATTTCTAAATGAAGTTCTATAGTTAGATTCACGTGGTAAATCATAAATTACAGCAGACTCTGCAAGCTTGGGTTTGAGGGTTGGGGTTTTTTTTCGTTTGGCTCTCGTGAAACATATACTTTTCTTCCATAAGAACTTTTCTCCAAATGCTAATTTTACCTGTTTTCTGCTTTTTTGCAAAACAACATGTGCATTTTTCACAGCCAAATTTCTCTGAGGAAGGATGTTCCTGTGGCAGTGTTGGCGATGTGAGCAAGCAGGGACTCGCCATCCTACGTCTTGGTGCTTGTTGGTAGGGCAGGAGGTGTCTTTGGGCTCTCTCTCTGACTAGCTCTTCACTAGTCAGACTAGTGAAAAAGGAAAAGCAAGCCAAGAGTTTCAGATTTCTTCTGTCCCTTTAGGTGTAGTTAAAGTTGAAAGCTGATTTTTGCCTATTGGAGAAGCATCTTATGTTCAGCTCTGCTATCAAACCCTGGAGGGAGAAATCCCTGGGGCAAGAGATGATCTTCATGCAGAGCCTTGCACCCATGAACTGGGTCTTAACTTGGACCTCTAAAATCTCAACATTTCCTACATGGCCAGGCCATGTGGCAGCAGGACAGCCCTCAGACACTCGAGTCCTAATTTAGATTCCCCCTTGCCAGAGCCTAAATTTAAGAATTCAAGCAGCATTACAGGGCCCATCTGCAAAGTGGGAGCAATAATCCCACAATACCTTCTCAGAAACGCTGCAAGGCCATGAACTCTATCTACACAGAGTAGTACTGTTCAGTAGTAAATGAAATCTGTTTTCACTTCCAAGGCTATGGCATAAATTACTACAGGCAGAAATCCAGCCTAGCAGGCAATGAACTGGATGGGGCCCACTCAGTTCCTTCCATCTTTAGCTTTGATTTTCATTGTTCTATTTCATTAATAGAATTTCCATTTTTTTCCTCCCCCTGTTGTAATTTTTCTAAGCTGTTAATTTGCCAGCAGAAAGAACTGCCTCAAAATTGTATACCAGCTCCTCCAAGGCACCCACAAGAATCTGAACAGTTTTTAGTAGACTCAGCATTTCCCTCTTTACTTCTCAGCACTGGTATATATAGCAAAAGAGGCTGAAGAAAGCCTGTTGTGTTTCCATTGGGGGACCATAATCTGGCCACTTGTTTTCTGCTCAAAATACATTGCATTCTGCAGACACTGTCCTTAAAACAGGGTAATCCTCTCAAGTCAAGAGGCTCTGGCAATTAGCACTACTGGTTTTGAAAGTCACAAATATCACCCCAGACAAGGCATCAGCTGAGAATTTCTTAATTCATTCTATTCTCTCATTTATTCCTTTTTATTTTTAAGAAAGAGTATTGATTCTGCTCAGATCATCTCTGCAAGAAGGAGAATGGAGGAGATGCTTAGGAAAACTATGAGGAACAGCAAAACTTTTCCAGTCCTCCCCTTTGCTTTCCCATGTTCCCAGTCCCTAAATCCTACCTGGACCAGCTCCACTACTGGCCTTTTCTCCAGTCACTGATGTCAAAGACCGTGGATGAACAGGTGTTTTGCCAGCTCTGGTTGCCCCCTCTGATTCATGATGCCTAGGAAAGAAATTAACAGCAATAAATTGGATTCAAATTCTGTATTTTCCTTGGTAGCAGAGTTTGTGACTGCATATGAGTGCTCCTATTGGAAAGAGAACTGGAAAGATAAAAATAGATAAGATAGATGAGAGATTATGGGATAAAGTGATGGCCACTTACAGCTGAACAGGATTGGCTGCTGAAGCCTGCTGGTCTCTTCTGACATTGAGGTTTAGCAGTAGAGAATCTGCTCCATAATTTTGGTTCAACCAAACTCTCTTGGAAGTATTACCTAACAATCTACTATTTCCTTGGGGCCATGGAAAAGAGGATGTTTGATGCCAACCTCTCAGTCTGTGCTGGGGTCTGTGGGATTGGATGATCCAGGTTTTAGGGACTTAGGTGAGAAAGGTGGCATGGAAACTAGCACCTAATGCATCCCTTGCATTACCTGCCTCCTCTCAAACATCATTAAGCCCTCACCTAGGAGCTTTCTGCAGGGAATTAAGGAAGGGCACATAGCAGGACATTATCTGCCCGTATCGGAATCAGGATTTCCATTGTGGATTGGCTTTGCCCCTCATGAAGACCTTATTTAATCTCCACTTTTGAGATACAAAAAGGCTCAGGCACAGAAAGGTTAAGAAATCAGCCCAAGTCTCAGAGCCAGAAATAAAGCTCATTAGTTCTTCATCCACAGGGAGCCCTTTGCTTCCGTCTCATCCAAACTGCTGTGCGACAACCACCATCAAAGGCACCTCAGAAGAGGAGATCAATTTTATAGCGGTTTTACTCTTTGAAAGCACGAAGAGGCTCTCCATTAGGAGCTATAATTTATCTGACTGTGACCACTGACTACAGGTCTATGAAATGTATCTAAATGGATTGCACGGAGCCAGAAAGCTCAACCCAAGTATGTATGGCACACAAATAAGGAAGCTCTGCAAGTCTGAAAATGCAGAGTATCAGCAAGTGCTCTGGTTTTCCGGATTGATTTGGGAGGTAGGTAGGCTTAGCTGAAGGCTGTGGTTTCTAAATTGGACATGGTTACCTAAAACTATTGGAAATTTGAATTGCATGTCAGATGTCTGGAATAAACGCACTCAGGAGACATAAGAAAAAACATGTGGCCTACTATTTTTCTCTTTTTTAACGTCTTTTGGAAACTGTTTAAATCTCATCTGGGGCTTGTATAGTTTCTTTGTTTGGTAATGCAGAATTGAAATTCTTTATAAAGCTTTCCTAATCAAAAGGTAGAAACTTGATTGTTGCACACAGAGCCCTTCATCCTGAAAGATGTCTGTACCCTTTCCAAAAGCATACTCTCCTTTCCAGAGAAGTAAATGATCCTTTGAAAACTAGGCAGCACAGTTATTTTATTTACCTCAAGTAGACCAAATTTAAATTCTGAAATGGGCCATTATGGCCTGACCCTGTTTCTAACTGCCAATAGCTCTTGTAGTTGGGCTGTTCTACAGTTCTCCCCAAGTTCCTGGTGCAAGGTGGACTTGGGGCTGCATATCTTTAGCAAGACCATCCAATATAGTGATGAAGATTATATGCAATACATTTCCTGTGAATTGCAGGCACCTCTGGGGTGAACTGTATCACCTCTTCCGCCTCACATGGCTGTAATGTCCCACTCTGAAGTGAGACTGAAAGGGACACAAGAAGAAACCTTTCTGTAGGCAGAGTGGCCTTACCTGTACCAAGGAGACAGGATTTGGGATGAAATTTGCTCCCACCAAGATGTGGCCTTGGCTCTTAAAAGAGAGGAGGGAATTTTTCATTCCTTCCATGTCTTGAAGATGGTACATGGCTTTGTGTGCTCATGCTAGGGTCTCTAATCCCCCTTTTCCACAGCTCAGTAGCATCAACACAACCTTCATTGTTTGCTTGATGATGTCAACCCAACTAACCAACCAATCAACCTACTCTTCAGCCACCAGCAGCTTCTTGTCCCACACTCTTTACTTGGTGGATCCTCCCACTTTTGATGTTCACTAGGAAGTCCCCAGAACAAGCCAGAATTTTTTGAAGTTTTTCTACTTTTATTTCTTGATGCCTGCTCAGGCGTAGCCTCCTAATTTTAAGGACTAGAGTATGACACACGATAAGTCATGAGTATGGTTGTCAAAAATACACATTCCTCCATTTTTTTTTTTTAACTTAATCTTATTTTGCAGCATCTCAGAGCTGGACTAAGAGACCTGATGTCTCCCTTTTCCTCTGACCAAGATGCATGCTCGGGCCTAGAAAATACTGAGAACAGCATAAGGGCATTAAAAAAAAAAGATTTTTTGATCTAAAACACCTCTTTGTCTTCCAGGTTTTGAATACAATGGAAAAGGCAGAGAATCTATGTAAGTGTCCAGGCAAAGTTTACAGCTCCTCTCAGCAAAAACCTATGGTAGCTGGTACAGCTGAAGTTATGTTCTCTGAAAGCCCTAAACTATACCAGTTAAAGCATAGTTAATGGCAGCATATAAATGTCATTGGGAAAAAATAATGCTGTCATATTTGTTGTTTTTGCGGGTATTCAGGAATCTCTGTCCAGTCTCTGTTTTGGATATATGGATACATAAGTCTGTGCAGACTTGACAGGGTTAAACTCCCAGGAGTGAGAAAGGAGTTACTCTTGGAAGGATTTGGCACCCTCCTCTTTTCCCACTCCCATCACTCAGGTGTGCCAAAATGTTATGGTTTCTTTTAGACCTGCATAATTAAATGAGTGATGAGGAATTTCTCAGCAATATAAAACTGAATTATTTGTTGCTTAAAATAGAGCTGTACCCTCTCCAGGTCATCAGCTGGTGTCAATCAGCCTGTTCCAGGACACCAGATTTTGTTCCTTGGGAATAACACCACGGGCATCAGGAAAGCACAGTGCAACTCCAGTGGGTCCAAGATTGGGAAGGGACCATTATAGTGTCCAGAATCACAGAATATGCTGAGTTGGAAGGGACTCACAAGGATCATCGAGTCCAACTTTTAGCCCTGCACAGGGCCATCCCCAAGAGTCACACCACATGCCTGAGAGTATTGTCCAAACGCTTACTTTGTGTTTTTGTGCTCGAGGAGGAATTCTCACCCCGGGGGGCTCCTCGGGGAGCTGCGGAGGACACGGAAGGTTGCTGTAGGGAAGCCCACGCAGTTTCTCTCCCGGTTTAACGGACAGCCCTGGTTCATAGCTGCCAAATTTTGCTAGCAGCCCGTAGATTTACGAGCCCCGGGAGCGCACCCGGCTCCAGCTGCGGAGCTGCGGGCCGAGGAGCGGGGGGACCCCGGTGGGGACGGAGCCGCCGCCCCTCGCTGAGCTGCAGGCCTGAAACCCAGTATAAAAAGGGGAAAACCGAGTATAAAAAGGGGGGAAAGCAATGAAGAACAAAAGGAAACGGGGGATTTCGGTCCCATCTCCTCAGCCCTGCACTTTGAAAGGGTTTAAGACGCGCCGGCCCCAGCGCCTCTAGGGGCTCGCAGCGGCAACCCCTGTGCAAGGCGGGCTGGGGCAGGAAGGTGGGGAAAGAGAAACTCTGGTTGGGAGTGGGGGGGTAAGGTCAGAGGCAAAGGAAAAGCATCAGAAGAGAAGCCTGGAGGGATACTGAAAAAGAGTAACTTGTCCACAGGGTGTCACTCTTGACCTACTTTTGAGCCAGCACACGGCCTGATCTGTGGCCCCAGGAAATTGGGGATTTTTAGCTCCCCAACAAGCCTCCAAAAAAGGCAAAAGTCTCAAAGAAAGGCACGCTGGCACCTCTGGGTGGACTGCCCTGGGTAGCCACCTGCCCAGGTGTTTCCAACCCTGCTTACCCAGCTGGTTGACCACCTAGCACTGTGTTGGACCTTGGCTTGCCCTGTCCAGAGAATGGAGTTTGAATAGGGTCTTCCTCAAGCCAGGATTACAGCCCACCATGGAAAAAAGAATGGAGAGTGGAAGAAAACACTCTTCCTCCACAGTCAAACTCTTTCTCACCATTCTGCCCCAGACTCCTGCCATTCCACTTCAATATTTATGGAGTGTTCTAGCTTACTATGAAATTTCTCTGTCATCCCATACTGTTAGTCTGCACCTTCCCCTTGGGAAACCTCTTATTTCCCAGGCCCTGCCTCGTGGAAGATGCTGCATTACAGATTTATGGTGAGCCCTAAACCAGGATAAAATTAAGTGCTTATAATACCTTGCTTTCGGTAGCTGCTACTCAGCAGAGACTGGAAGGATTCTTTGCCTAAGGAGAAACCCTATGAGTTCCCAATTTGTTTTCTAGGTCAAGCTGCAGACTTCTGCAGCCACAAGGTCAAAGCTGGGAGTAGCCTGAAATCAGGGAGAGCCCTGACGTTTTGTGGAACATGATGCTGAGGCCAGGCAAGGCAAGACTGCCTACCTGCACTGCCCGTGCCCGCCGGAGGGCTGATGGACACATCAGCCTGCCCAGGACAGGCACAAGGAGCTGCAGTCACCCACAAGGCTCGGAGGGGCTGGTGGGTGACATGGATGCTGGGGTCAGCAGCACAGCAGCCAAAGAACAGGCTGCAACTTTTATAAAGTATCAGCAGAGTATGAATTATTGTGTGTCCTCCTGGCAAGGTTCCTGGAGCAGAGGACACACCAACAAGAGTACTATCTCCTCTTCTAGGGCTGGTTGGGATAGGATTTGTGTGTAGCGTGTACAGCACATAATTCATCAGGCTATCACTTACATAGCATGAGCTCAGCACTGCAGCACTCTCTGACATTTTGAAATATTTTGCTAGGGGCTCAGCAGTTTACTGGGAGTATCACACCAGATACATCCCGAAAGGGATGCTGTCCCTTTGCAGGACTCAACCTTCTCTTGGTTGGAGGTGCTACTGTAAAGCCTGCATCCATCAATCCTACCTGTCTGTGATTGCCTCGTTTGTGCAGTGACTTCGCTCTTTTGCCCCAGGACAACGTTTTTAAGGGTGCTCAGTAACATTTTAAGCACTTCTCAGTTTTCTTTCAGGCCATCCGGAATGTGGCTACCCCGAGATTTTATGGAAACACCTGCAATATGTAAACGCAAGTGTGTAAATCTCTGTAATGCGAAAAACCAGCTTCATGAGGCCGTACAAGAATGCAGCCACGTGACTGCAAAACTTCATTTATAAGTATCTAAATATAGATCATAGCAAGCAGCAAACCCAGGCTTCAGTTTTAAAAGCGAGGGCACAGGGGAGAGTGCAGAGTCAGCACTTCTTAAATAAGAAGTTCTTCTTGTACTAATTCATTTACAGCGGCATCTTCCTTTGACACAGCAAATTTGCATCCCCGAATCCTGATCACAGAGACATAAAGATTTTTATGGGAGTCGGAAATAGCCTCCATGCAGGCGCTGCTGTGGAAGCACTGCACCACTGCCGACCTCTGCGCCCAGACAAGGGCACGCTGCAGTTTGCACCAATTGAGCTGTGCAGGCTTTACTCCTCCCTGTGTTTTTATCACACCCCGTTTCAATTCCCTGGTTCCAGTTTGCCCAGGTTATTTCCCAGCACCAGTGGCTGTGACTGCCCATTGTCCCAGGGAGCACCATGCAAGGGATGGTGCATGCAGGCTGAGCAGGGAATACTGGATTCCACCTGCCCACACCTGCAGCTCAACTGTTTAGGATGATTGGGATATCGTTTGCTTGATGATATTCCTTTGTCAGGAACTATAGCGACAGGATGAGGGGGAATGGCTTCAAAGTAAAAAAGAGTACATTTAGATTAGATATGGGAAGAAATTCTTCCCAGTGAGTGTGGTGAGGCCCTGGCACAAGTTGCCTGGAGAAGCTGTGGCTGCCTCATCACTGGAAGTGTTTAAGGCCAGGTTGGATTGAGCTTTGAGCAACCTGGTACAGTGGAAGGTGTCCCTGCCCATGGGCAGGGGGCGGAACTAGGAGATCTTTAAGGTCACATCCAACCCAAACCATTCTAGAATTCTCTGGCTCTGTATCCCACACACCACAATATATCTGTCTATTGCCATTATCTTGTCTGCCATTAGGCATGAAACTTTTTCAAATCATTCTTCTAGCCTCACAGTTTCCATAGAAATACATTTCAAATTTAGAAAAAGTCAACTGTCCTTTGAAAATCACTGCAAACATTTTAGAGAGACAGTGGCAAGTGTCCTACCCAAATTACCCTGGCCAAATAGTGGGACAGTTTTGCAGGATTCAATAATTCCCCAGATTTGCACAATAAGTAACCTTGCCAGGGTTTGAGCAGAAAGCAGAGGGAGGAAACTAATGCTTTGAGAGCCAAAACTCTAATAACACGAAATTAGCCTTGTTCTGGGTTTACAGGAACCACTTCCTAAACCATGAGGGCTGTTTCCAACTCACAGCCAAGACTGGATTCAGCTGCAGGGAACAGGAGATGTCTGGGAAAATGACTCCCTTCCCCTGGACATCTACCCCACTGCAGGAAGAGTTGTGATAGAAGCTTGAAACAGACCCAACAGAAGGACTTTTCCAGCCTGAATCCTCACCTGGGAAAGCACTGCTCTTTAGGAATGGGATTTAGGTCTTACAGCATCAATGGGACCTAAGCAGATGCTTGAATGAATCCCCACATCTAAATCACCACAGAGACTGTTTTGCAAATTCCTAAACATTTTCCACTGGAATAATCAGAAGATCACACATTTTCTAAATATTGCATAAGTTGGCTAGTTGCTTGAATTTCAAATTTTGGGGCAAAGATCTATGTTATTATCAACAAAATCTGAAATTATTATAGAACATTTTTCACACTCTCATTCTTATTCACTGATTTCCTATTTAATAAACATAAAGAACATTAACTGACATTTGTTTTCAGCTGAATGCTGAAATACTGGGGTTTTTTTACTGAAGAAAAATCAAGTCACAACTGTTTATGTTTGGTGGGACATACAATGGAGCACCATGATGTCCTCAGATTAGGACATTCAGCTGAAGCTGCTGGACTTTGGCAATTGGTGTGAACCCAGAATGTATTTTGATTGGCCCCATCAGACTTTTTTGGTAGCAAACTTGAGATTTTCATGTGGAAAATTTAAGTTTACATGGAAATTTGCTTTTTATTTAATTAAAAAAATCCCACAAAACAAAACAAAAAAGCAACAACAACAACAACATCAACAAACAAACAAAGACCCACAAATCTGCTTTACACATCATGCACAATGCAGAAGAGTCAGCACATGACCAAAGAACATCCACTGCATCCATTCTGCATTTTGTCTATAAAAATACATCTGTATTACCTGCAGTTTTCTGTGCTCAGAGCTGTCTTCCCTTGTGCTGCCTAATGTGTTTAAGGGCACTTTCTGCCATGGTTTTTTGGCTAAATCCCAGCAGAACAACCAGAACTGTGCAAAGGTGCCATCAGATGGGAGGAGGTGGCAGAGGCGTGACAAGAACTGGTCGAGCAATATGACCAGAAGTCAGGGGACAAAGCAGCATTTCCTGCCAACCAAGAAAGGTGAGCAGAGGCTCTTACACCTCCTAAACACCAGCAACAGGGAAGACTGCAACTACTTCATGCTCCAAAGCCCAGCTCCTCCCAGCAGCCCAGCACACAGCAGCAACATGTTAATTATATACCTACATCCATATATATGTATAATCCCCGAGAATGACCTGGTACCTGTAAAAAAAAGTACCTACAGCATGATACATTACTACTGCTTTTGTTGGACTCACTCTGTAATTACAAAGTAGTTACTAAAGAAAACCAATCTGTTGGCTTTGCCATGAGCAATTAATGCAGGTTACCAACATGATGGTTACACAGGGCCAGCACTAGCACTGGCATCCAAGTGTGCTGTTCATCTGTGGGTTGTGGCTCCCCAGTAATGAGTGCTCTGCCTCATATAACATATCCATAGGCATGAGAAACAAACTGCATCAGAAACCCAACTGCACTACTGAAAGGAAAACCCAAGGAGCAGGTACCCAGAGCGTGCTGTGGTTTCTTTGGTCTGATTTTGGTTTTGATAAAAAGGCAGAGCTGGCTCTCCTCTTGCTCTGTGGGGCAGGTTTGTGGATGAGTACCTTTTCCACCCATGGATCTTGTGTACACCTTGCTTTTCCCGTCCCTTGGATTTGGTTTTCTTACTGCTGCTCCTCTCCAGCTAACTCTTACCACAGTGCTGCCATGATCCTGGGGCCATAAAAGCTGGAGCAAGAGTCTATTGACAATAACAACTTTGGAATTACATTTTAAGCACCAGGATTTCATCTATGGCACACCTGAATTAGCATCATAGACCCAACCTTAATAACTCTCTATATAATTTTTTTCATCATTGTGTTTCAAGCCACTGCCCAACTGGCTGCTGGCAGGTTTGATGCCCCATCCAAATCTCTCTTCATCTAACTCACCTTTCTGGTAGATAAACCACTGCCTCCTTGGAGGCATCCTTTGCCATGGGATTGTCTGTGTCAGTGGCCTTTTCCATTTGACCCACCCATCTCTGACCTAAAGAAAACACAAACTATGGGTATTTACAACTAGAGAAATGGTGGGGTGGCCCATGAGTCACTTGCTCCTCATTTGAGGCACAGAAAACACAAAGAAGCAAAAGCTCCTTAGTGTTCACATTTATCCTCCTACTGCATGTTAAAAACACTGTCAAGAAAAAGTATTTAACTCTGTGTTATTTTCTCAAGGTAGGAGAAGGGGTAAAACCAGTTACAATGGATTTGTGAAATTTAAACCACATGTAAAATAAGGTGAGAAGCTACAGCAGAAGGATCTGCTCTTTCCACTCATTCCTAGCACATTTGGTGTGGGGATTCCTACCTCCTCCCACTGTGGAAATCACCATGACTTTCCAGTCAGGAGGCCAGGATGAAGAGGCAGGTGAGTATGGGAGCACCAGGGCCAGTGGTTGTCAACAGCAACCTGGTTTGGCACTGGTGAGAAACAGAAATCTGTCCATGGCCCCAGTCAGCTCAGAGCACAGAAAACCTTTTTTTTCAGGAAGTTTCTCTTCCACTCTACTCAAGGACATAGGAATAGGAGAATATTTGCATTGTATCTTCTATCCAGGGTTACAAAAGTATAACAAAGGACTTCAAAATTGAAGTTTGTTTCTTAAAATTGCAGCTTTCATGGTGGCAGTATTAGGAGTGCTTATCCAGTGTCCTTGTCTGGAGAAGGGGCCATACTCCCCTGCCTCTTCCTGCTTTCTCCATGCTGGGAGTTGCCAACACCTCTCTGGATAGGGATACTTACCCATAACACTCAGCAAGGCTGGATTCTGATGGGGAACAATGAGTAAATGCTGGTGTTGGTCATCAGCACTGTCTGACAGTTAAAGGAGCAACAACCTGTAGTCCTGCAGGTGAACTCAGCCAGCTCTTGCTGAACCTTCTTGGCCCTTAAAAACTAATCAAGGCTCATTAGTCTAAATTAGATGCATCAAGCAGACATCTAGGCTTCATATCATTAAGAGGTGCTAATGGCAGCCTGAAGGCATCCTCCAACCAAACCTGTTTCATATCCTACCTTGATGCTACTGTGAATGATTGCTCCACACTCTCACCTGCTTTTGCCACTGGTGCCAACATTTTCACAAGCACAATAAAAAATTCTGTGCAACTCAGTTCTGGACTGTTTTATTTCAAGTCTGAAAAAAAAACCAAAATGAAAGGGATCTTCAATACTAAAATAATATTTTTTTGCTACAACTGAGTCAATGTCTGGCCATCTCTGCCTCCTTTCATGCCACAGAGATGTCCCGTCCTCTGAGCCACAAAGCAGAGAGCAGCTACTCCAAAGACATCCCACAAACATGAGTGTGCACCAAAGCTTCCATTTCAGGTCAAAATTATGGATATAACCATGTCTCATAATTTACCACACTCAATTCTTCAGCATCCAATCTTTTCCTTATTTTTAACATCCTCACATTTTTCATTTTCTTTCCCCATCACATATTCATTGGATGCTGTACAAACAAGTGTAGATTTAAAGTGTCCCCGTAACATTTTACTTATTCTGTGACTTAATAATAAAAAGAGCACTGAATAGAAAGGCTAGAGTTCAATTTCTGGGCTCTATTGCCACTTGCAAGCTGCACTCTCCCACAGCTCCTTGCTTGAAATACAGCCACCCCTTCAGCTTTATGCTTGCTCTGGAGCAATAAAACTGCACTTTGCTGGAGGAATTTTAAATCGTTCTAAACTAATACAGAGATCTTTAAAACACGAATCTAAAAATGTAAAAAGTGAGGGTCAAAGTGAAACTTTTGGGTTTTACCAAGTGGGTCTGCAAATTCTCCATCTTTATAAAGAAAATTTTTCTTTGCTTTCAGAAGTGAAAAGGGACAATTTTTTCCTTGGATGAGGACTTTTATTTAAAAAGGCCCCAAAAATATAAAACTTGTAGATTGAGAATTAAAGAAAAAATAAATCTGCCCTAGTGGAAATCTCCATCATATTGATGCACTTAATTTAGACTGCAGGAGCCTGTAACCCAGACTCAGCTCCCAGGGCTGGGTCCATGTGGGGTGTTTGGGCAGCTTTTGAGAGCACAGATGTGGCTGATGGGCAGCAGGGTGTGACCCTCTGCTCTGCACCGAGGGGAACGACACCAGGTCTGTGCATCTCATCAGGTGCAAGAGGTTTGTTATTTGAAAGGTGTCACAGTGCAATGAGCAGGGCACAGAGGGGACATCTCCCATGTCCCGTTGCCTGTGGCTTGGCACTTCTCTGCCAGGTGCTTGTTTTTCCCCATGTTTTCTTTGTCTGCCTTGGATTGAGGCTCCCTGGAGGAGAGCCCACTTCTGCACAGAGCAAAGCGCTGCAGAGGCCTGGCTGCACCTGGGTTTCTAGGAGGGAAATTAAGCAATTGTAAATTGTTACTCTCATTTTTTGGCAATTTCATGCCGAAGTTCTGTTTTTCTTTGAAGCTAAAGGTCAATGATTAATTCGAAACTTGTATTTTCCCCAAAATTATGGACTGGGGAAATAATGTAGAGGCAGTGAGCCCAATTCCACTCTCCTTTATACCTTTGTAAAGCTGAAATAGCTCACTCTGTTTACAGCAGATTTGCCAGATTTCTTCTGGCCTTTTCCAGAGCTCTTTCAGGAGCTGCAGATGCAGCACTGACTTTCTATGGATCCAGGTCCTCCCAAGAACCTGTGCATGCATTACCCTCCCACTTGGACCAGCTGAAGTGGACACTAGCACTCGCAGCCCTGGAAGAATCTTATCTGGAATTCAAAAGTCCTTGCAATGCAGGGATTGATGATGCACATAGTGACACATGGTGTGATTCTTGGGGTTGTCCTGTGCAGGGCCAGGAGCTGGACTCGATGATCCTTGTGGGTCCTTTCAATCTCAGGATATTCTCTGATTCTATGTATGAGATAGTGAAGGTGTTGAGGACACAGCTACCTGTGAGAGATCACATACATTTTAGCAGAATACAGATTTTACAATCCGTTAGGGACATCACCGTGTTTTTATTATTAATGTGTCTTGAAAAATAAGATGTTTAGCTAAGCTTACTGATTCCTTGAAACTCAAATCATTTAAGCTGTCTAACCTTGTTCAGGATAATTATTTCTATCCATTATCCATCATGTTAAAAATGACAGCTCTGGGACAAGGAAGCTTTTCACGCAAATGTTTTAAGACAGTGTTTTAGGTTGCAGGCATTAGCAAATGTTAATTAAATTAGATAAACAATGACTCAGAGTAGCTGTGCTACACTAGAAGAAAGATGGGGGGTAATAGGGGAAGGAATTTGGCAGCTCAAAGGTCAAAGCAGCTTTTTTGGAAACAAGAATCTGTCCTTTGAGCAAGTACCTTGCCTGAATTCTAGGGGATGGAAAGAACTGATGCCTCTTTACATTTACACCTCCAGACAGCATTTGTGTGGGTTTGCTGAGTGTGGTTCTGCCAGGGTACGTGGTGCACACTACCTGACAAGGCATCTTCCAAGCCCATCTGACAGCCTGGCCACATGATCATATTGTCCTCCATCAGCTTCCTGTTCTTGGGTGGTGTCAGTCCTGAAACTGTGGATCCACTCTGAACGTTGGATTGTCTCATTTGGTAGAAATTGCCCACTGCACTGTATCAAGCAGTTACACAAGTAAGGCTTCAAAAGTGACCTCCAGGTCTGGGAACGCATCTCCTGATAATTCCTGTGACATGGCCGTCCTTAATCTGTACAATAATACAGCTAAATATTTCTTATTGATACTTCATACAACAATTCTAATCCTATCGTGTGACTGCTTCCACAGTGTGCAATAACATTTTGAAAATCAAAGCATCAAAAAGAACATTTCCTCCTGGGATATGTTGCACTAAAGATCCCAAGTCAAATACCTGGTTTGGAGCACACCCAAAGAGAAGAGGCTGAAGCTGAGGTCCTCATTTTTGCTAAGAAAGTGAGTGACTTGCCGATGTAAAGGGGTTCCTGGTGTCCCGCGCTGACCTTCTCTCAGGTCCTGCAGTGTGGTGGGGCTCACCCTTTGGCGGAGTTTTGGAGGGAATTTGTTTCACTACTGCACCCATGGAGTTTGTACAGGGAGACAGAACTCCGTGAGTGCAGCAGGAGAGCACCTGTATAGTTGTGGGATGATGGGAAGAGGAAAGAAAGTCATGCAGCACTCCTAAGACAGATTGTAACGGAGTGTATGGGACATCTATGGTTTATAAGCTTTAGTCTTTTACATGTTTAGCTCACAACAGAGGCTCAACATTTGTTCCTGAGGCCTTTTGCCCACAGCTGCAGAAGGAGCCAATGGACTCTCTGCTCTGTGGGCTCAGTGACCATCACTCACCTGTGATGAAGCATGTTTGGTGCCTACAGGGAATAACCAATTCCATCTTGCAGTGGTTGGGAAGCAAAGGCTTCAGGAATGAGTTACAATCCATTGGAGAGTAAGTCAGGCAGCTACATCTCTCCCAGACGAAACCAGAAACTGCTCAACTATTCTAATCCCTGCACATCTCAGGTCATGCTCCTCCAAGCATTCAGCTGACTCGCCTTTCTGGAAGCAGCAGCACTGCACTTCCCCTCTGTGCTTGGTCCCTGGCGAGGACCTGTGGTGCCCTCACCCTCGACAGCCCTGTGAATTCAGTCAAGTGTTGGGTTTTATACTACAGAGATACCGATCTGTCCAAACTTTCTTCACCTGCTCTGATCATTTCAGCTCCTTGGGGACACACACCTCCATGCCACTGCCCAACTAATTAGCTGCTTCACTGGCTGCATTCTGCAATTCTTCAGTGATGGGTCCCCATCTGACATCTTATGACAACTGATTAGTAAAGTAGGCCATGAGTTTAAGAAATATGTAATTTGGGCACCACTTGCTGTTAACTGTTTGTATGCTCTTGTTTGTTTGTTTGTTTTTTACAAAACTGTTACCCTTCAATGTAAATACCAAGGGATGAGATAAAGTTTGTGAAGTGGAAATTTTACAAGGCAGTAAATCTGAAGAGCCCTTCAATACCAAGCCCTGAAGAGGCTAATAAGGAAATGTATATCCTTACTGCAACGCTATACATTACAGAAGTCTAGATACCAAGGCAAGATCAAAAATCTCTGTTTGTCCCCTACTCTCGGGCCAAAACCATATGCAAGTTAATTAATTAACTAGAATTAAGTAAAAGCATCCTTCATGTCTTCACCCCAAGTTCCCCAGCCAAGAGAGCAGAAAAGAAGCAATAAATAAAGCTTGAAGGTTTAAGTGCGCTGAACGCTCCTCTCCAGGTTAAAAGGATGTCAGCGAGCTGCAGCACCACAGCAGTTAAATGTCGTTGAAGATCTGACTGCCTTGGTCTGGGATTTGCTCTCGCTTGAGAGCTGGTCAAACCAATCTTTCCAAAACACTGACTTCTGAACTTTTGCCAGAGGTGCCTCTCTCCGGTGACCAGGCAAACGACATGTTAAACCTGTCAGTTCAGAGTAAGCAGAAAAGTGTGCACCCGCCATGGGGAGGGCATTTAAAGGCACAGGGTTTCCTTTGCTGGGTGAGATGAAGGGCTTGCATATGTACCTCGAGGGTTATGAACATTTGGGGACAGTAGTGGGACCCCATTGCCAGTAGGTTCTCTCTATCCCAGTGGATCGGAGAGAGCTACCCAGTTTCAAATTATGTGCTTTCTAAAAGACAGAGCTCTCCTCCTGCAGGATGATGCACAGTCTGATTTCAGGGAAGCCAGAGATGTAGCACACCTGGAAGATAAAGAACAAAAACTAAATTCTACTAAAAATAAAGAAGAGCCAAAACCTTACAGATTTTGTGTTTACATAAAGGCAACCCCTGGCCAGGGATCTCAAGTAATTTCTGGTATATGAGACTCTTGACCACATGTTCAGCCTTCCTGATGATTTTGAGGGCACTGGTAACACAGGTCATGATCACATTTCTGCAGTGGTTACTCCAAAATTTATAAGAGACAAGCAGCCAACAGAAGCCACCAACAATCCTTATTTTAGCACCATGGTTTGGAGGAAGAGTCACGAACACCTAGAACTAAACAGTCCTGGTGTAATACAGCAACGGAGTGTTTCTTTGCTCCTTTGAACAACCCTCTGATGTCAGATTAAGATAGTTGGACTACTGGGAAGCTGAATGTTTGTTTTTCTGTGACCTATGGTTTACTCTAGCATATATTGAACTCACACCAGACCCACAGCTGAAATGGCTCTGCTGCTATCAGCCTGAGGTCTTATCCCATCTATGGAGATGAAGATGATCCAGTCTCATCCTTCCAGGTCTCTCTGTATTTATACAAAATCACTTACATTGGGTACTGCCATCTCACCTGCAAGAAACAATGTGTCCAGACCAAAGTCTGAGCCTGTATCTTCACCCTGGGGCATCAAATCAACAAAGACACATCTCCAGCTCTTTCAATATTTATATACAACTGAGGCTAAGTGGTCTCAGCGCTGGCAAGGCACAGAAAACAAATATCTCTATTTTTTACCATATGTGATCATGCCAATACCAGGATGAGGTTCCAGTGCTAAGTCAAGATATCCTGAGAGGTTCACCACAGGTAGATGAAGTTGAATCCAAGCAGACAGGAGATGTCAGTATGCAGAGGAGAGAATTTGGAGGAGTCTGTGGTTAAAACATGCATTAACGTTTGAGCTCCTATTTAAAAAAAAAAAAAAAAAAAAGAAAAAGAAGAATCCACAAGTACATTCAGCTCTCTCATAGCAGCAATTATCACTTCCAACTATCCCCAGTTGGCTGGGAGACTGCATCCCATCCTGGCAGATACTGACCTGGCCTTAGTTTTTCACACCTTGGTCACTTGGCTGTTTTACAGCAAACCGATATACCTGGGCATGAAGCCTGCAACACTTAGGAAACTCCAAACAGTACAAAATGTTACAGAAAACCTCTTCAGTGACACTCACTGCCACAGATACATCACATCTATCCCCAACTGTCTACAATAGATTCACAATTTTAATTTGGAGACGTGTTCAAATTTTTGACCCTTTTCTTTCTGATGCTCCATTGCCTGAATTTGAGATATCTGAAAAACTGTGTGAAACTGTTGGATAAAAACCACGGACAAGAAATAGGCTTCTCTGGAGCAGTGGAAGCTTTTACAACAGGAGTAAAGCTTGTCTAAGTGGGAGACTGAACTCCTGCATGAGCATGATATGAACTTGCTTAATCATAGATGATTGTGTGTGCTGTAAACAGGAGTCATCCCCCTCTCTCAGCCAAGAACACTGTAATTGCTTAATGAATGTGTAGTATAAAAATAAGTAAATAAGGAAAGCTCTAGAGGAAGCCACTGAGGTCTCCTCCAGAGTGTATTCAGTTGCAGGTATTCCTCTTGGCATTGATGGCTCATGTAGACACTCCTCTCATTCAAAACATGCAAGTAAACAAATAAAAGAGTTGAAAGCTGATGAGACAGTCAGCAGGATGCATTCAAAGGGTGTTCTCAAATGATCTGATTTCTGCATCTCTCATTTGTAACTAGAATTTACTGCAAGTCAATTTTTAGTTATTTCAGATGAATAACAACTAGATTGCTACAGTTGTTCGAACCCACTAGGGATGCTTATATCTCACCAAATTCAGATCTCTCTCCTCCCAGATCTGAAAGTTTTGAGCAAAGATCAAACAAACCTGTGTGTAATGTCAGGAAAACTACAGATATTAGCAAGATGTAGGAGAATAATAAAAAATCCTTTGTGTTTACAGTTGAATTCTTGATTTGTCTGAGTAATGCCAGTAAAAAAGAGGAGCTTTCACCTTAGATTTTCAATACCTGGCTGACAAAAAGAGCAGATCAATACTTGTTTTTCTAATGAGTTTGGCAAACTCTTAAAGAGGAAGTTCATTTTTCAGAGAAAGTTGCTTTTGTTCAGTTGTAAATGTATGTTTGATCAGAGTTTTGGCAAACAAGTCCGGCTAGTTTTTGTCCTATGTAAGCTTTTTACGTCATGCCCTAGAAGCAACAACAGCTGTTAATTATTTATCAGCTGATGAGCACTGGCCTGTTAATTGCAAAACATTATAAAATAGATTAGGCAGAAAAGCTCAATACATATGCAAGCAGGGGTTTTTGCTCTGTTTTGTATGTGACTTGATTAAATAAGCAATTTTATGTTTCTGCTTAATTTACAAAGACCACCTTCACCAGTGATTTAATCTCAGAAAATGTAATGGGCCCACAGCCTTCAGATAAGTTTACTAAAAATTGAAAGATTTTTCCTACTTCAAGCTCTTTGGGCCCTTATCAAAACTCTAATTCAGAATGAATATGAGATCTCTCGTACCTCCAGTGTACAGTGTTTTAAACCAAAATGATTAGACCTTCTTCAGAAGGAGAAGCACTAATGAGCAAGTAGAAGACCACAAGATTGAAGAGATTTCTCCAACCTTCTTAGCCTTCACATGATATTCATGTCATTCAATTTGGTGTTGCATCAGAAGACCCCAGTAGACAGTAACTCACCTGCATTGCAGGGCCTACTGGCTCCTTGCTTGCTCTGCTGACAAGAAAACCATGACTGACTTTGTACTAATGAAATGAAAGTTTCCCATTTTCCTTACCCATCACTTGGCCCTCTTGATGGGCCTTCTAACATCATGGATTTCGGGGATGACCAGAATAATCTTAGTCTTTTACTCTAATCCCTGATGCACAGTCTCCTTCACTTTTTAAGAAGGAAAGTGATTTTTCATGACAAACTGACATCCCAAGAGGTCAGTGCTCATTGACTGACACACAGTGAGGTGGATCTTAAACCAGTGCACATTTGAGTAGGTTGATTGAATTAAATGGATCCTCACTGATTCACACCAGCTGAGGACTATAGGAAGGGATCTGAGAGGATTTAGGACCTGTCCCAACTGTGAAACCCTTTAAAGTTTGGTTCACAGACTGCAAAGTAGAGAACAGACTGGCACTATGTGCATGAAGATTAAAAACAGCCCCAAAGGTGGTGAAACACTTCCATTAGGATTTTGTCTTATTTGCTGGACTTGTGTCAGTTACAAATCACTCCACATTCAAGCAGTCAAACAGCTGGAAAGAGCATGAAATCTCAGGCTCTGACCAGCTTCCTGCAGTGCTCACTAGAGCAGCTTCTCTCACTTCCATTGCATTTTGGTACTGCAATACTTTGGGTCAGCAACTTCCAAAGAAAAACTTTTAAGCTTTTCAGAAAGTCATAACAAGTCATACCCAAATCCAAAGAAAAAAAGAAAACCCCAAAACAGATGCATGCAAGCTTGGTTTTAAGATCCGGGGAAGGGTGGGAACAGTGTGCTTGTTGCTTTTTACTCTAAATAACATCAGGAAGACATACAAACCCTGAATTAAAAATAAACTTTCAGGACAGGTTGTGGGACCAACAGTTTACACACCAAAGCAATATTCATGTTTGACAATCTGAAGATGAGACTGCTCTTCTTTGCACAGCCAACCACACAGAAAATAAACAAAACCCTTGGAGCGACCATCCTGGAAGGTTTAGGCTTCAATTCAGACCAACATTTAAGTGTACAATGAAGGTGTGACTGCAGGGAGGCCCAAGATCCTCCATCTGGGACCCAAAGGTTGGATAAGAGGGGCCAAGCCCAGCCCTGTCTCCACGAAGCCAAGGTCAGCCTTGTCTGAATGAAGGATGCTGGAAGGGGGCCATGATTCACAAAATCATTTAAATGGTTAAATGGGCTACACATGTGGCAGAGTGCTCCTGGAGTGACAAATTTAGAGTGCTGTATTCTGTTTAAATATTAAATGATGGTGTTCTTTCTTTTTTCTTTTCTTTTTTTTTTTTTTTTAAAGGACTTGTATAGCCTGTAAAGTGTCTTCAAGTACAGAACATTTCCAATTGCTCTAAATCTCAAATCACCCTGACCACTGGGATTTGGCCAGCTACACCAGAGCAGAACTGGGGCAAAAAGGAGAGTGTGTTTATAAAAATACCCACATATCCACCACTATCCACCATTTAGATACCCCTAAACTGTTTCCTAACAGCATCTGATCCAAGAGGGGCTTGAACTCTGGTTTCATGGGTACTGCTTGGATCTCTGAATGCTCCTCATGTTCTTAATCACGTCTGCTCCAGAGATGAGGCTATGAATAATTAACTATGCCTCCAACATTACAGTCATAGATTATGGTGGTGGTGACTTGTGGACTGCCATGCGCAGCATAAACCATTTAGGAAACTCTGTTATCCACTTTCCCTTTATATTTGTCTTGCAATCACTTACCGCTTAAAAGGGTAAATCTTTCATAGCTTTAATTAAAGCATTTAAAATAATTTACACTGAAATTGTATGTGCTTGGGTCTGTCAAAATTGATGCTTTAATAACATGTCATCCCTTTTTTCGATTGCCCTGAAATCTGTTAAAATTACCACTAATCTAATTGGGAACAAAGTTGTCAAATGCATGCAGCTCTGACAGTTTGTCTTTCTGCAAACTGCCGACAGATTGCAAGTTACGCATGTGTTGAGCAGATGGGTAAGTTAAAAGGAACACAAAAAAAAGCAATTTATTAAATCACCTGGAACCAGCAGCTCCATTCCAAAAATAGTGAGAATGAAATATAGCAAGAGCTAGGAGAGTTGGCACTGGAATATGCCAGAAGGTACCAGTTACAAAACAAGATAAACATTTTGAGAAGCCTCAGCTGTGTTGCAGAATAATGAGGCGTTATTTAACCCGATATAGATTACCAGCAGAAATTAATTTAGGGTGCAGGGTTTTGTGAGAGTGTGTGAGTGTGTGAGTGTATGTGAGTGTGTGTTTTTTTTAAAATTTTTTTTTTTTAATCCCTGTGTTTTAACTCTTTCGTGTCTGAAAGACAAGTCCCCCATCTCTTTCCCAGTTTTCCTGCAGAACTGCTGGACCCACTATACAGCCCTGTGGTTGAGGTAGGCAGCGGGTGCCCTCTCCTTCGGCTTCCTCCTACGTCCTCCTTTTTATGGGCATCTCCCTCATATCTGAGAGAGGCCAACATTCCATGGAGGCAATTTGGCCGCTGACCCCCTTGGGCTAGGCAGTCCCCTACCTGCCATAAATTCCAGTTTTTGAAAGGAAATGAGAAGAGGAGGGAAGAAGAGATGGCACCCTGGAGGGATACCTGACCCATCCACTCAAGTTCTACCCTTCACAATCCTTTCCTTGGCCCTGATGCTGCTCCTCTGCTCCCTGCCCATTCTCCATGCCTCCAATCTCTCTGGACCCCACAAGCAGAAGGAAATGGAGATGAACTCTGAGGCCATTGCATGGATTCAGTTCTCCTTGCACATGTCCCTCTGCCCCAGGGAGACACACTGGGCTGTGTTTATACAATGCTTAGGGAAAAACAGGCTTTATTCCTGGTTGCTCCGTAAGCACTACTCTGTTCAGCAGCATTTATTATTAAAGAACAAGACCAAGATTAAAACCAGTGCACAAGCACTGGATAAGCATGATTCACCTACTGAGACCACCACGCAGGACACTGGGATGAAGATGCTTATGTACTTTCCCTCTTTCAGTGCTGGAGGGAGGGATGAAGGCACAAAGCTTCACCGGTTCATGTTGATTTTTGGTGGAAGCCCTGTGGGCAGGGAATGACTGATGTGCCTTGGGGCCCTCTGATCACATTTTGCAGCTTTGCAAAAAGTCCTGCACCAAACTCTGCCCACAGCAGCCAGGTGGGCAAAAGAGAGAGAACATAAACAGTTCCTGAGACACCATATCACTTTGAATGGACAGGATATTCCTCAGTCCCACAAAAAAACAGAGGTGAGCTCCCACAACCACAAAGTGCATTAGGAAAGAGACTGTCTCAGCAACTTTATGAACTAACTTTATAAGCCACAGTTTAAATGGCTACAGTATCATTTCAGCAAATAGAGATATCCTGATTTAAACCAGCTGACAAAACAGCCCATAACACAAGGCAGTAGGTACCCCCTTCCCAATGAGCAGGGAGCTGTGCCATTTCATACCTGTGTTCAGGGAGGAGAAAAGATCATAAAAAGGATTGCAAATGAGAGGTTACAAGCAGAATTGCATCTCCCTTTCTTTTTTTTATTTTTTCCTTTTAACTAAGGAATAAGCATTTGACTCCTGCTTTTCCATAGAAAACTCAAGGAGGAAAGTTCGCCTAATTTCTACAGTTTGAAGATGTCCTTACATACTGGAGCAAAGATGGATGAGCCACTCTTCTGCAAAAGTGATGGCATTCCTTGTGTAAAATTCAGATTTATAAGTCTCAATGAACAAGAAAGATGGAAATCTAGCCCTAGGTAACATTACTGCACTCAACATGCCACTGGGCAAAGTATGATCCTTAATGCAAGATTAAAGGGATGTAACATAAACCAGGTAAGAAGTATGATGGGCCTGATACTGGAAAGGTCTACAAGTAGTTTAAAATGTGACTAACCCTATGAAGGCAAATGAAAAAAAAAAATCAAAGCAGAGTGAAAATATTTGAGATATTTCGAGTGAGGCTGGGTCAGCCCCTGCATTCCTGAGCTCCTGCACAGAACAGGGAATGAGGCAGAAGGTGCTATTAAAGAACATTTATGCCTACAAGTCCAAAAGCCAGAGCTTTTCTGATACCTGCTTGGCTGCCTCCCCACAGCTGGCTTGTGGCAACCAACACACAAAAGTCACATTTCTGCCTCGTCCCAGGGTCCTTCCCTGAAGCTCCTTCCCTCTCCTGTGCCCCCCTCCTTGTGCAGTGTGTGGGGGCCACAGCTGGCCCTCACTTTCCTTTTTCCTTTCACCACAATTTAAATGGACATTTTTCCCCCCTCATATGCAAGTGGGTTATCATTTAGAGTCTGTGATTTATTTAATGGTGGTTTTAACCCCACTTAGAAATAGGCTGCTTTCATGATTTATTGATTCCTTCTTCCCCTTGTTAATTTGACTCATTTCTTAGGAAATTATTCATAGTTAATCATGGTAAGAATGAAATTAGTTATAGTGCCCACTTTGCTGCAAAGGGAGCGTAAATAACTTTTAAAGCAAATCAGAAAGAAAAACATGCTAAAGAAAAAAAAGAAGACGAGAAAAGAAAAACCAGAAGAATATATATAAAATGATGATGATCTAAAGGGGGCAGTAAATTAAACCTCTCCACTGTTACTGGTTAGAGGAAGGCACAAATTTACATTCCACAGGAGCATGGCTTTTACAGCAGGCTCTCCTCAATTGAATTTCCCATCTCTTTGGGGGAACACACCATTTGGAAGATAAAATCTCCCACCACTCCACCACCACTGCCACCATTCAGAAGATTAAAAAACCCCGCCAACTCTGTTGTGTGCCTTTTGTGCCCACTAGAGGAATGTAAAACCATTATATTTAAGTATCATAATGGCCAACATATGCTTTTTCTTAGAAATGACACCACCATCTGGATTAAGTTCTCCTGATCATTTCAGACAATGTTACGATTATTATTTTTTTTTCCCCTTCAGGAGAACGAACTGCCCAGAAAGCAACAACAGCCGCAGATGCGGAATTTTTGCTTCTCCTTTTCCACCGCTGGCAGCTTTGAGAAACGTGATAAATTCTTTATATGTACCTAAACTGCTTGATTTTCACTTGCTAATTGATCACAAAAGCCTACCTGAGTACACCCCAATACCAAGCCAGTGAGACTCCTATTGCCTTTGGCTGTACAACTTCACTATTACAGTTAATAAAGTATGTAATTGCCGTGATGATAAAATTACATCGTGTTACTGTTTGCAGCACTCTCTTCCCCACAGCCATATCAGTCATTAAAAATTGCACCGACTGGTACAGGGAGAAAGCAAGCCAAGCTTAACCCTTCACTGGATGAGGGATTTCAGCATGATGGTGTGCAGAGGGGAGGTGTTCTCACCTGAGTGACTCCTTACCAGCCCCATGGCTATTGTCATGGACGTCGGAGACCTTCTGGGCCACCACATCCAACTGGCTGTAACTGGAAATGGGCACGCCGGGATAATTGATGTGCTCAATCTGACCATGCACAGGTGGCAGGGAGACGGCATACAGCAGCTTCTCGGGTTTGCTAGTGCCATCTGTTGCCACAGGAACATCTGTCGTCAAGGTCACCCTGTCACCCTCTGTTAAAGTTACAGGTTTGGCGAGTAGAACAATGTCACCTAAAAAATGAAACGAGTAAAAGGGGAAACCAATGGGAGACAAATTAAAAAAGGGATCATTCCTTATTACATCCTAGACCAGGAGAGAATAGGATAAAAGTGAGCCCTTCTATTCAGGGCAAGGAGAAGAATGTTATCAAAATACCTTGGGAAAATATTTTTGCCTTACATTTTAGAGGCAGACAGGACATTCACAAGAGAAAAAGCTGCATAGCTATCTCTTTTGTTCTCAAATATGTCCCATGGTGAGTCTCATTTTAAGGCTCATGCTAAGTGGAACCACAAGATTTTTATCTAATCTTAGCCTGGGTGAGCCTTATAGAGGAGTCCACGTATTTATCTGGCTGCATGATTTGTCCAAAATGTCAAAGCCAGCTCTGATTTTCTGTTTGGGCAGAGAGAATGACCCAGTTGTTTAGAAAGAACAATTATGTTAATAGATCCAAATGAGCCAATGGACAGGATGCGTTAATGAACTAAGCACTAAGCACAAACACTGTTTTTTAAGCTGATAGTGTTGCTGTAACCTCAGCAACAGAGGTTCTGGCTCCATTAGATTTATTTATGAGGAGCTCCACCATATCGGCCAAGGGCCAGGGCAATTTTCACATATACAAAGGAGTAGCCCCAGAAAATTGAGGTTGCTGGTAAGATGAACAACTGGTCTTCTCAGAAGAGGAGTAGCAATGATTTACCTAGTCATATCCACTTCATCCTTTTCTATCCTAACTCTCCCTGTTTTTAAAAACATAGTGGGGCAGCACAAGGGTTGATCTGCCAAAGGCAGAATCAGAGACAAGTTTTTATCAGAGGATATTGCAAGAGCAGGAGAATAATGTCAATCAGTTTCCATTGCTGTCAGTCAACCTGATGATGACAATATACAATTTCTCGTCTGGACTCGCAAGAGCTTTTCTTTTCTGTTTCTTGTCTCTTATGTTGCCAACCGACTTTTAAAAACAACAGTTTCCTATTAAATGCAGAAGGCTGCCAGCAGCATTTGAGAATAGTGGTTGTCAGGGCTTGGGCGGTTTAAAATTTTATTTCCACAACAAAACGTGCACCAATTTTCATGCTTTTCCAACCATTTGATGCCTCACCTTTGCTATTAACCCATTTAATACCACTTCTTCTCTGCAGCTAGCATGGCCAATGAAAAGTGTGACTGAGATTTGATGCATTCAAAAAGTGACTGTTATCTGAGAAAATTAGTCTAAGGTCATCCCAGTAATTCAAATTAAAAGGACAATCTATATGTAGGCCAGCTTGCCTTCATATAGTAAAAATTGTAATCATATTTGAGAAAAATCAACAAAAAGGAAAATGACCAGCCCCTCCCCCAACATAATGAATATAATCAGAACTCCCCAGTTTTGGAGCACTTAGGGAAATAATTTGTGCTGCAATGAAATAGAAGTTGGGTGTTTCTTACTTTTTGGTTGTACCTTTGAGGGACCCTAAATTTATATGAAGTCTCACTGAATGGGGTCTCCTTTCCAGACTGTTTCCAAGAGTGATCTGAGATCAAGGAGGAGTGCGGAAGAGGGATCTCTCCTTAAAGGATGAGACAAGATCGTAGGAAGCAGCCAGAGATGCAGGATGCCAACCTGCTGTACGCTCTTCTCAGGGGTTACAGAAGTCCATATTTCAAACCCAAGCTGATTAAGTAGATGCAGTCCTCATGCTGACTCATTTTCTTTACAAGAAATTCAAACAAATAAGATTGAAAAAGGAGGCAACGGTGAAACAGGCAATGGCAGTTAACCCAACTTCATTGTTGTGCATGTTGGAAAAAAAGGCCAGGTTTCCAGTAGGGTAATTCTTTTTGCCCCAAACCCAAAGACATGGAGAACACTCTCCTGATTAGTCCTTTGAACAGTAAGTTACACACTCCCATTGCTTTACATTGGGGGAATAGTCAGGATCCTTATGTCTTTAATCATGAGCCAAGTATGAAGCTTTCAAGCCCATACTGAAGTCACACTGACCTCAGTACACTGCTGAACCGGGATGTCAGCCATCCACTGGTTTGGTTATCATGAACCAGGTGTTATTTAAAATAATCATAGAGTCATAGAATGGTTTGGATTGGAAGTGACCTTAAAGCTCATCTCGTTCCAACCCACCTGCCATGGCCAGGGACACTTTCCACTATCCCAGGTTGCTCCAAGACCCATCCAACCTGGCTTTGAACACTTCCAGGGATGGGGTAGCCACAGCTTCTCTGGGCAACCTGTGCAAGGGCCTCACCACCCTCACCGGGAAGAATGTTTTCCAAATCTCTAATCTAACCCTACACTCCATCAGTTTGAAGCCATTCCCCTTGTCCTGTCACTCCATGCCTTTGCCCGAAGTCCCTCTCCAGCTTTCTTGTAGTCCCTTTAGGTACTGGAAAACTGCTACAAATTACTTCACAAAAAAGTCTCCCAGTTTATACCAATAATCAAAAGAATAAATAAATACTCATCTGACCTAGGCAATCAGGTTCACTACTCTTCTTCTTTCTATCTTTTTTCAGCCTAATACCCACCATGGTCAGGTTAAACATGGCTAAGCCTACGTGACGTATGACAAGCAGACACGTACATCTGAAGTTGTTCATCTAGCAGCAATATTTGGCCTTAATATGTTCATTTTTTTATAGAGTCTAGAAAAAAAAAGCCAAACAAAAACAAGAAGCACTTTCAGATTCAAAGGGAAAAACAGACTCCAAGTGCTAGGATGGGTGAAACCCCACGACCTCAGCAGCTCAAGTGGTCACCGGCATCCCCCGCATGCTCCTCGGGGCTGTGCCAGCTCCTGCCTTGCAAGGCTGGCAAAGCCACTTGGGTTTTTTTTGATTCACTTGCTTAAATGTCGTAGGCTTGAAAGTTTGACTTGAAATATAACATTAGTGGGTTTGTGGTAAAAGCAGCAGAAAGGAGAGGATGACAGGCGGGGCAGAGGGGACTGATTGAAAGCAGGTGTGGAGGAGGAAGATGGGAGGAGGAGAAAGGGGAAAACATGACTGAATAAGTAAATTCAATGTTATACATATTGAAAAAGAGCACCCATATATAGAGCACCCACCTGTGCTCTATTCTATTTAATATTGTTTATTTAACATATAACAAGGAATAGGCTTTAAAACTGAGCAAGTGAAACAGGGCACTCATGGCACATGCTGCTCCCAGCAGATATGGTCGTGAGAGGAGGAGTGCAGGGCAGATGTTCTCCATGGTGTTTAACTCACCACTGGAATGTTCTGGGAACTTATGGGAAGAATGGTACAGGAGAGGATGGAGGTGTAAGAAGCCATATAGACTTGAAGGTGGACTTGGTTTTTGGCTACAGGGGGGATTTTGTATTTATAGATGTAGAAATACATGCAGAGAGAATAAAATACAGTGGAGACCAATCATAAAATCATAGAATATCCTGAGTTGGAAAGGACCCACTAGGATCACCAAAGTCCATCTCCTGGCTCTGCACAGGACAGCCCCAAGAATCCTACCATGTGCCTGAGAGTGTTGTCCAAACATTTCTCGAACTCTGGCAGGCCTGATGCCGTAACCACTTTCCTGAGGAGTCTTTTCCAGTGCCCAACCACTCTATGGGTAAAGAACCTTTTCCTAATATCCAGCCTAAACTCCCCTGACACAGCTTCATGCCCTCTGCAACTGGTCACCAGAGAGAAGCTGTAGACAGCTATATTTCACCTAGTTTGGCCTCTTGGATCCCCATCATGTTCATTTGACTCCTACACAGAGCACACCCTTCTTCCATTGACTGAATACATCCATGAGCAAAGCCCCATTAAGGGGAAGGAAACGCCAGTGAAGGAAAATTAAAAATTACAGGACATCATTGACCATATGAGGCTGCTTAGGGAGGCTGGTGAACCTCCCTCCCTCCACACATCCACACACCTTCACACCATCCTGATTCCATACAGCTTCACCTGGTTTTTTACTACATTTTTACTTGATTATACATATTATTGTTTCATTAACTGCAAAGCTTTCCAGGGCACTGAAAAGGAGAGAGCATTAAAATACACTGAAAAGTCCTGGAGCTCAATTAACACACACCAGGGGGTTCAAGGGGAGGGGAAGTGGGGGTGGAGGGCAGCTCCAATTATAAAAGGCAAACTTATCTCCTTTTTTTAATTTTTTTTTAAATGTAATATCAGCTAATTAGACTTTGACAACCAATTAGCAGATTTTTAGCTTTGCTGAGAATCAAGTTAGCGCTGAGAGAGAAGAAGGCAAGTAAACCAAACATACAAAATACTCCTCTTGTACCACAAACAGGCTGCCCTAAAAAAAATTGCACAGGGCCAGATCCTGCTCCCAGATTTATAGCCCTTTCAGCTGGCTGTCATCCTAGTTACTCGCAGGTGTAAATTGAGTGTAGGACTTGGCCTGCAAACTTAAGCTCACCATAACTCATGCAAACCCACAGTGGAGAAGCGCTCTCCAGCCTCCTTGCAAGGTTACATTTTAACTTTTAATAACCTTTTTTTTTTTTTCCTATTTTTTTTCTTTCCACGAAGCATGAAGTACCCAGATGATTATTTAGGATTAATGGATTATCAAACGTGCCAGTTGGCACACTTCTACTAAAGAGAAAAAAAAAGGGGGGGGGGGGAAGTGTAACAAATGCAGCTGTTTACTAATAAATAAAGCCTCAGCTGTAACAGAAATAAATTAGATGCATTTAATTGGTCTACTGCAAACCTCCTCTCTTTATTACAATGCTGCTTCTTGTTATTTTATGATGTCAGGGTAGATGGCAGACTGACAGAGTGTTTATGAATCACAGTTTGCAGATGGCACTCCTGGTTTTTCGGCAGTTATGAGCACAAGTAGCATGAGGACTCAATAGAGGGTTTTTGCCAGGGAGGACCCCCTGAGAATTAGCCGCCTTCATTTCTCTGGTGCCAATCTCCCCCTGACAGGAGCACTATTTCACAAAACCTACATTCAATAAATTATACCCGCCTGGCAAGAACTTGGAAA